GCACATACAAAGCGGAGAATATTATTCGGCAAAGATGAGATTTTGTCCATTTTTACTTTTCCGCACACATACCCGAGTGGAAAAAAAGTGACTAAGTTACTATTGACTGTAAGTGACTATAGTTAGCTATATTCATGAATTTTAAAATGTTGTATGGAAAACAATCGACTATAGTTACTCAGTCAGTCAGGCGATTATTTTGGGACGTTTCGACTATCGGGTGACTATGATTATTGTCAACTATAGTTAGCTGTTGCAGTTAACCATAGCTTACTTTAATTGATTGAAGTTAACTAAATTTAACTAAGGTTGCTTGTTTTCACAGTCAATAGTCAGTCAGTTTGTCCCAAAATAGTCAGTCACTTTTTTTGTACACGGGACTTGAAGTCAAAATACATTCGCCTTTTTTTGTTTTGAATACATTGTACCTCTCGTTATTTCAGTAAAAACATGAAAATAAACTGTATGTGGAATAGATTGTTCAACGAAATAGAAAAAATTTGGTTATTCAGTTTGTAAATTCAAACCGCAAGAATTTCGGAACGAAAATTATAAATAAGAGATTATTTTCCACTTGGACTGTGTATGTCATTCTTCCATTTATACCTGTCTAATTTCATTCACTATCCCGTTTTTGTTTTCACTGTTATGTGCATATTTTGTGACTGTGCACATTCATGTGTGATGAACAAAATGCAATTTACAAAACTTTTTACTCTCCTATATGAGAGGCCTAGTTGAAAATAGTATTGTTTGAATCGTTTGTTTACTTTAAACCAAAAGTAAATTGTGTTGAAAATAGACGAGCAAAACAAATATGCATCGATGCAAATCATTGGATATTTCCACTGCTTAAATTTGTGATGTTGAAAGAACCTAGCGCCATGTTATTATGTATCCGTGTGATAATGGATTTTGTAGCATAATATTCAAATCAATGGTAAATGCGTAACCAAAAGGGTAGCGAAACACATTGTCACACGGAACATTTGTTATAAGTTTCTCGATGGAAGTTCTGATCGTGAAAATAAATGTAAATTCAGGCTCCCTCATGTTGCTAGGATCTTTTTAATGGCGTTGTGATAGTTTTTTTTTTTTTTTTTTGATCACATAAGAATCATATATAAACACAATGAAAATATAGAGAATTTCAAACGATGTTTTAATTTAACAAGCGAAATTTTTTTTCAAAATAATCTTGCATTTTTGTTATTTTTAACTGAAAATTCAACAGAATGGGCAAAATAAAAAAAAACTTCTGAACTAAAATCATGAATTCAACAAATATTGATGATTTGAGTTTAAAAAAAAAGAGAATTGAACATAACATTCTTTCTGCATCGAAGTTTGAATAAATAATGTTCGATGTGTGTGGAAAAAGTAACATGATTTTTTTTTGTTTGCATTTTTAAATTGAGCCTGGTCAAATTGCACTATAAAGACTGATTTTTTTTACATTCTGAAGAAAAAAAAAACAGTGCAAAACAATTTTGTTGATTTCTCTAAAAAAAAAGGTAGCTCTCAATCAGTTGGATAGTTCTTATGAGAAATAAAATATCAAATTTTGCGTATAAATGAATAAATTGTCCTTATCGACTCAAAATTCTGTCTACACATTTTTTTTTTCTGTTTTTCGTTTTTTTTTTTTTTGAATATAAATTACCAACATTTTGAATTTTAGCGAGTCAAAGGACGAGAAACCATGGCCGCAACTTGTTTTACCAAAAATGTACCGCATGTGGTTGGATGATTTGTTGGTGGTTCGTTGGCATTGAATGAGTCCGTTATTTGTTCTGGGTGATACTTTGATTGCTGCTGCATATGTTTGTGGTAGCAATTGAAAATGTTTTCCGTATCATCGGCGATGTTGTTGTTGATGTTGCTGCTGTTATTGTTGTTGTTGTTGTTATTGTTGAATGACAGAGTTGACGTTACACAAAACGAGTCGCATGCCGTCCAATATTTGCACGTTATTATTGTAGTAGCGGTTGATTCGTCATTTGGTTTACAACTAACAATACTTTCGCCATCATAATCATTCGTTGCCAATTTTTTAATACATTCGATAGCATCGCAATTATTCAGCGCATAATTGAGTTGATCAAAATAATTTTGAGATGTGGCCGAGTGTCGTCGTTTCCGATCGTACCGATTAATATGATTTTTATTGAGTTTTTGTGTGTGATTTTCGTGAGCTCGAGCATTCGTTTGTTGTCGAATTAAATCCATAAATTTATCCAATTTATTCGGTTGCGATTCGGTTGTGTGTTTGTTGAGATCCAAAGTTGGTTGTTTTTCAAATTTATTTTCATTCCATGTGATCGTTGAGTGAATCGTTTTATCCATATCAGATTGCTGTGGTTTATCAATATTGTGGTCATCTTGTACGGTTGTCGTATTCGTTGATGGTATATTTTTCCAGATTTTTTCCAAATTTGCGTGTTCCCAATCGTCGCCGAGTCGATTCATTGTTCCAGTTTCATCATCTCCCGTATGTTTGCCCATTGTATCGTTCGGAAGTTCTCTGCGCCATATGCTATTATCATTGTAGGCCCATAAACTACCGAAATGCTGGTTGCTGCTATCACTTAAAAGTGGTGAGCTATTGCACGATAAATCATTTTTGGTAGCTTTTATATCTTTGGTTTCGTGAATGATTCGCTTTTTCGTGCACGAATCTTGGGTATTCAAATATTTATCGTCCGTATGCAATCGACCTTGTTGACATTTTTCGCTAATCGCTTTAACCAGAGTTTGTGCTTTTTCCGGTTGTAATAGGTCCGATATCAATTTGGTGACATTCGAATAAATATGGTTGCTAGTGTTGATCAGTTCATCGTTTGTTTCATCCGTGTATTCGGTTAATTTGGTCATGTCAGCCAACAAATGTCGATTCGAATCAGTCATCTTGGTTTTGATCGGTGTCTCTTCCAACACAACGTCACCATCATCACATTCAGCCAAGAGAGTTGGCTCTTCATCGTCGTCCTCTTCCCAATCACTGTGAAAGGAGATACTTTGAATTAAGCATTTTAAGTCGGACATGATTTCATCTCCGTCCGCACTCAATTCATCTTTTAATAGACGATTCGCTGGCATAGACACCATATCATTTGAACACGATGTACAATGTTCCCATAATGCATGTGCATTATTAACATTGTTACAGCATTGACGAGTTTCATTTAAGCACCAGCTATCTTGTGACATTTCGATCAATTTATCGAACGAACCATCATTCATATAGTTACTATCTTCGTAGTGCATTTCCTTTGAATCATTTGAATCGAAATATGAGCGATGCTTTTGCAATGACGATATATTGGCATTACTCAATGAACTGAACGATTTTATACGATTTGGGCCGACATTCAATGGCATCGGAACATTGGGCGATATAATACGTTGATGTTTTCCGGGCGCAGACAAGTCATCCGTTTGACAACTTTTATCGTTTTGTCGAACACAATATTTTAGTGTAAATTCGACATCAGCATTGGATTGAGATGTATCACAGCGACTACCACCATTTCCCTCTTCATCGTACACATAATATTCCCGATATACTTCCGAATCATGATACAACATTCCACTTTTTGAACGCTCGTAATTTATTTGATCCAATTTATTCGAAATGTCGAATGTATAACCATCCGCATATGTTTGTTTAATCGGACGAAAACGTGAACGTTCCGACGTCAATAGATCCTCTTGTTCGATCGTCTCGGTAGAATTCGATTGGTATTTTCGTGCATTCGTTTTGGATTGTAACTCTTGTTTGGCCTCAAAAGATAATGGTTCAACTTCCTTAAAACAGCTTCGAGTCGAATGGTTCAAAAGTGTCACCCTACGTTTTACAACTAAAGAAACACATGCAACATTTTAGATTTGGACATTTTTTTTGTGGGAAAAAGTTTTAATTAACTTACCATTTGGTGTTTGATTTACTGAATGTTCAACAATATTAGTTTCAGCTTGAGCCATGTTTCGTCCATTCATCGAGCTGTTCATCAACTGTGTTAGTTGATAATTGTTAAAATAAGAGTTTTCAAACAAATTGCTTCTTATTTTATCATTGTTTTTAGCCTTTTGTGGACTCGTGCAAGCATCCTGTTGAATTGGTAAATAAGGAGTGTCGTTGTCCGACCATTTGGAGAAGCTTGCATTCTCATAATTTCCACCATCAAAATTCGAAGGTGCACCAGTTATCTTGTTTGTTTTGCCATATACATTCTCAGTTGGTTCGGTTGCATATAGCTGAAATTGGAAAAAAAGAGACGTCAGATTTGAAATCATCAAACACCGACTGCTTGGACTTACATTCATTTGTCGATTCAAAGATTTCGATTGATATTGATTCCATTCCCATAGTCGCGCGTTTGCATAGAAGCTTATATCATTATTATTTGGATTGTCAACCCAGATATCGTCGCTATTGTTTGGATTATCCAAACTCCAAATCGATGTGGTCAAATTCATGCCACCGGTTGTGGACGATGAATTCGAATTAAGACTATTTGGTTGTGCTGATATGAATTGATTTTTATCTGCACCACTAAAACTAATTTTTGGGCAAGCATTCGGCTGATTCGCCTGGAAAAACGATTTAAATTGATCGGTTGAAAGTTTTGTTGCACGCGTATCAGTGGGAGCGATAGCAGCGGTGGCGGCAGCAGCAGCGATGGCGGTGGCATTGCTATGATTGTAATTTAACCAAAACGAATGGTTCAATTGTGGTTCAGTTTTTGGCGGAATATTCAGCTCATTTTGTTTGCAATCATTCCATAAAGCTTCCATGTTATGATTGAATTTTGCTTCAAATGCGGCCAAATAATTCGTTTCCATGCAACTCGAATCAACACAATCAACGCCCGTAGTCTCAACGCCATGATTACAATTCACGGTCGTTTCATGGTCTGGTTCACGTGGTAAGCCGGCCGTTTCGATTTCGCTCCATGATCCCAATGTATCTGGTGTTGCATAGCCTTCGCTACGAATTAACATTCGATCATTGGTATTTTGGATGAGTGAACTGGAGTCGGAGGTGAATCGTGAACTGGATGATGTTGTTTCCGTGTCGGGAATATTTAAGGCGTACACATTGAGCTCAAAATTTTTGCCAAACAATGATGATGTTGCGGCAGCAGCAACTCTCATCAAATTTTCTTCATCGTTGTCAATTTGTTCGCATCGTTTGTCGCCGTCGCAATATTTTGCTGCATTCGATAATGTGACCACCGAATTTTCATTTACCGCCGTACCATTTTCAATGACCGTTTCATTTTCAAGCGAAGAAAATCGTGCTGCATCACTTTCCGATATGCTGCGATTACGATTATTTTGCTTCAAAACAAATTCACGTATCAAATCACGTCCCATTTCCCAAGCACCATCAAAGTCCGTATCCCACATTGTATCCGATGGTTTTTTCTTATGACCGGTTTTCGAACTAACCGTACGTGCATTTCGAACCGAATTGATACCGTTTGGTTTGGGCTGATTGGGTAGTGTGGGTGCCATCATTGTTGAATTTGCTACTCGTCTTCGTTTTGTTTTTTTCTTTATTATTGAAATCGCACCTGCTGTTGGATTGCTTTGATTTATTGACTGGTCACTGTGTGGATGTTTGTTGCTATCGACCTGTGGCCACGACGTTGTTTTATGACAGTAGGCGTTTTTCGATTGATCAGATAATGCTGGAAACGCGTTGAAATAACGATTTGCTGGATCTTCACTTGACTCCGTTTTCTATATTTAAAATTGACGGAAGGAAATATTATTAGAAAATGTCAACATACAAATGAGCTCAATGTGATCGAGAAAACAAAAATTGATCTTAATTGCATACCTTATCAGCAGTAACTACGTTTGAGTTAGACAAAGCATTATCGTTGTTCGGTCCAATTTCAAAGTCGGATTCATCAAGACTACTTTGTTCTTCGATTTCACGTAATTTTAATGATAGTTCATCGACCAATGTTTCAATTTTCGAGAGTTGTTGATCTGACGGAACGGCTTCGAGCAAACTATCAATGGCAGCTAAACGCTTCAATGCTTCAGTATCAGCGGCCGAAAAACGACGATAACTATTACCACTTTTGGAAATGAACAGCTTATTGCGCGTAAAGCTCCCGATCTATTTGCGAAGAGAAAAGAATATATTTTTTTTTGGTTTAAATTGCATTCAAAAATCGTGTTTCAGGACCAACAAAAAATTGCAGAGGATTCTAGGTCTAGCAAATGGATTTATATTCCTCCAATAAATGAACAACACTAATGACTGAATACTGAAATTAAAATTGTTTTGATGTTTCTGATACTTGCAAATACTACAAAAATACAAACAAAAAATGCTACGGGAAATGCCAAAAATTCGCAAGTATTTTAACGTTTCACGTGACTTTCTTTTCGTTTACCAAAATTTTAAAAAAAAATCGATACGAAGTAATGCACGAGAATGAACAATTTGCGCATATTTGAAAATTTGCTCACCGAAACCAGATGAAAAATTAATTTGTATTTTGTTCATTCTCGTTTGTATTTCGTTTTGGTATAAAAAAATGTTGAATTCATGACTACGAAAGTGGGGGGGAAACATTCAAATACAAAAACTATAAAAATTGTTCAAAGGTTATTTAAAAAAAGGAAAAAAAATTGAAAAATATAAACCTTGTTATCCGATATTTCGGCAAGATCTAATGCATTAATTTGCAATGGTGTATGTAATAGTGAGAGTAGCAGCCTTGAGTAAACAGATGATGCATCAACTCCCAATTGTTCCAATTCTGTTACTAGCCAATCTGATATGGCGCTAACAGCGCGCGTGGACACAAGTTGTGGATACTTCATGGCTCAGTATAATTTCAATAGTTCTGTTTATTATCGAAGTAGAAAAAAAACAGCACGTATTTCATGGTTGATAGTAGAGCAGCCGTGTGATCACAATTAACAGTATATTTAATGGGTAGAAAAAAATATATAGTTTTTTTCATTTATCTTTTATAAAAAGGCGTATATGAATTTATGTGCAGTGGAAGTTTGTAGCTTACGATTCAATTTCATATTGTGAATTACAATTTATTTTGGATTTCGCGCGCGCAAATTTTTCTCTTTTTTTGTGCAGTAAACAACCCAAATTGAATACGAAAAAAAAACTAAAGTATGTTATTCGACCAATGCTTACGTAAGCAATTATATATTATTATTGTTTTTGGTTGAGTTTGAATACCTTGGGTTATTTACATCGAGAACAAGCATATTCAATACGGAAAAAAATGGTTAAACGGAAAATGTGTTGTGCACACCGTCTAAATAACCGATTTATTGGAGATAGACCCGAAATTTGAAACAAAATCTTCCGAAAGCAATTTTTTTTTTTTTTTTTTTCAAATTGAATCAAAGAAATGATGTTTACCTGAAGCAAGTATCCAGAAATGATGAGTTGAAAGAAAAAAACGTATGTCTTTTTCTGTCAATTCTTTGGGCAACAATCTTAAAATGTATTGTGGTATCGGGATTAATCGATAGCAATGACAACGGCGAATAGACTTAAGCAACAGCAGTGCAGACTGTGTTATTTTTTTTATAATTGTTTGCGTTTATGCATTTTGGAGTCGACATTTAGTAAGCATGATTGCGATGATTAATGACAGATAGTACAACAGCATTCCTTCTTTCCATCATGATAAGATTTGACGATTTCGATTGTTTATTTCTTTGAAAATTAAGAATCCGTTTTATTTTTCGTTTTACGTTATTATTTTTTTTAAGAAAAGAAGAAAATCTCGAGCGATGTGCGTATTTAACCACCGTTTTTTTCTTCTCTTGTGTGTTTTTTGTTGTTGACGAACCGGAGGAAATTCAAACTAAATATCCATCCAGGAATGAGCTTTAGCTATAATACATTGGGAGGTTGTGAAAGTGTGGCCCGGTTTTCAGTCTGACACAATGTCCAAGAAACGAATGTGCAGAATATTCGGAAATGATTCCAAATCGATTTTGTTTTGTATGATTTGTTTTGTTTTTACGTAGATTCTATTATAACTTGTTGGAAATCCATTATTATCTTCTCGGTAGATCAATATCTCTGAATATGGTTCATTTGTTTAAGCATTCCGGAATATCATTGTTGTGTCTGAAAATAAATAAACGAAAACACCGTTAAATACATATTGATTGAAATAAATTCATTGTATGATTAAAAAAAAAAAAATATTTGGCATTGAATGAGTGCATCAACCGTATTATCTTCGATGGATACCGTCTCAAGTGAGGTGAATGAATATTTTGCGAATTTATTGATACATTTTTTTTATTCGAAAGATAATTCGTACGACGTACATCATATATTTGTTCCATGTTTGTCTATATCTATTTTCACTTCGACACGATATGAACGCTAATGTTACAGACAACAAACAATGTTAATGAAAGTTCATACAATTGTAGACGCGTAGATAGAAGATGTTTTTGCGCACATAGGATTGTCTCGAGAGACGTTCAATATAATAAAAAAAGCGAAGCGATTCTTTCGAATAAATTCGCCAACATTGCGCTCAAATTGCGAAATTCTAAAATTAAAGAATGGTGAATTTTATTTTGCAAATGGAAAATGGACAATGGCATTACCCTACATTAAATGCGCTATATAAGCAGTTCCAATGAAAATAAAATGTATGGTGTGATTCTGCACTTCAATCAGTGTGAGTGAAACCGAAAAGAGGAAAAAAAATCGCACACAAAACGACATCAGAAACGTGTGTTCACTGCCACCCTTTTTACGTAAATAAAGGTCGTCGACAGGCTGGCATTATTTCCAAGGTCAACACTCTAAATGTATAGGATTTATACACGTTTAAAAAAGAATTTGCTTCACTAACTCGAACATTTGCATATATATACTGGCACCGAACACATGCCGTTACTCAAACGCTCACAGAAGGTTCACAATCTATACACATTGGTAATTCTACCGAAATACTTGTGCGCACCTTGTGTATGTGTGAGAGATGACACTTAACATTGCAATTCAAATGTGCTTTAAACTTTAGATTAACGATATGAGCAAAATCAATTTGATTTTTTCTAACACGTAGCTGGCGAAAGTAATGAAGAAAAGAAAAACTGATATCTTGGCTACATCGAATGTATATTATAGTATATGATCACAGTTTAATTTATAAATATATCATGTTTAAACCGAAATAATCTTCACTTGAGTATCTGAGCTGGGTGATACCCACTTTTTTTAAAAGTTCAAGTTTTCATATTATATAAAAAAAATAACAACAAACTGTTCATGCAAATGCTTTTGAAGTGAATATTTATTTAAGTTGAAAAACTGCCGATAGTAAAATGATTCGTCTTACAGCATTGATTAAATAGAATCGTCTGACGAAGCTAACAATTGGACATTTACTCACAAGAAAACAGACTTTACATTCCAAAATATAGATTATTCGTATGTAGTTGTGCATGTATTTGAATGGCTGATAACTAAGTGTAAATAATGGTTTTAGTATGTGTGTGGATGTGAGCAGCAAATCTTCCGATAATGATAAATTTCTTCGGAATTACATGAGTCACAATTTTCATAACAGAAAAAAAAACACAACAACAATTCAATCACAACTTGAACAAGTGCACAAAGAGTCACCAGCCATTTAATTTATTTTGTTTTTATCACTTTGATGCATATTTGACAATACACCAAAACACTGACCGAGACGCACAAAAGAAATAAATGAAGAGAGAAAAAAAAATATTTTTTCTGGTGAAAGTAGGGTAAGCAGTAAGCACACGTTTGAATATGTGTTATGTTATAAATAAAATGGTTCACATAATGCATGTCTCTATTTTATCAATCGTGTGTGAACGTAAATACACGGATTTTATTTTCCATGTATGCTCAACGTATAACAAGTAATTTTGCACATGTGTTTTGTTGGACTTCAGCACACATACGAATATGTTCAACGCGAGCCAGTGCAAGTCATTTGTTTTAACGTTGATTTCTATTTTGTATTCCCATCAAAAACGCATTTAATTCTCTTGCCCATTAAATATGGTTTATTTCGTCATGTCTACTTCAATATTTCCTCTGCCATCAGTTTGGCGTTAGAATAGAACGTAGTCAGCGTGCAAAGCAATTGAATACATTTAAGAATGAAATTGCGTCGAAATATTTGGAAACATTTTCATGCATTTCATTCGTTTACATGACAAATTGATTCAAAACAATCACATTCATTCAATAACACATGGGTTTTTCCCATAATTTTTCCTTTCTTTTTTTTTGGGAACGAGATAACGGCGCATTATCTGACCACGATAATATTTATCTCTATTTTCAAGAAGAAAAAAAAACTTTATCTCATTTTCATGACCAAATGATGCAACAAATTTCAACACGTACAAAAACAAAACTTTTGTTTGGTTCTATGAAAATAAGCGAATGCCACGGTTAATATATTCAATCATATAAAAATCGAATTAATAATTTCAATAAAACATCGAATTATTATCCCACTTGATTTGTTTGCTAAATTTCAGTGCAATAACTGTTGTAAAAATAAAAAATGCAATCATTCAGATGCTATTATTAATGAAAGTTTATTATTGACCTTATTTTTGTTGAAAACACCTTAACATAGTGAATGCAATAAAAAAAAGTGCACCAGACTTCGTGTATCGATCGTGTATCGAGGTACATTTAATGCACAACCAAACACTCATACATGCACATCAAGTGTAAGAAACATTATGCGCTGATTTTTTCGCTCTCTTTCTATCGCACACGATACAGTAATGGCCTGTGTGCAAGTGTATTTGATTTGACCCAATTCTATTTACGTAACCCAATTTTATGTGCGCGTGACATTTTGTACCGGAGTTTGCCAGCCAAAATGCATGTCATTTTATGCACACACACACAAAAAAACATTAATTTTAATTTAAAAAGTTTTTTTTTCTGTTTGTTTGATATTTTAAACACTTTTGAAACATGATATTTTGATTTTATAACGTTTGTAATTATTTGTCACGAAATTAGTTATTACTTTTTTTTCCTCTTGAAATTGATCTAGCACGAACAAGTGAATGAAGTGTAAACATGTGCAATGTGCATTCAGTGATGCTGCACCAGAAACTAAACTGTTACACGGAGGTCGCTATTCCTCAAACTGAAATAAAAATGAAACCGCTAGATGATAGTACGCCATTTGTGTGTTTGAGTGTTACACTGTCTACCGCCAAAATACGTAATGTTTCATTGAAAAGAATTGTAAGAAGAAAAAAACGTCGTATGCACATATATATATATACCGTTTTGCGTGTGTGCTATGGATAAGCATATATCCATCTAAACATATAGTATATACACGTTGGAGATAGCTCGAACAAGTATTGAGTGAATGGTCTAGTATATGGTTGAGTACGGTTGTATATAGTTGAAGCAACTAAAAACAGCCATCATAAAAATAAATCAATATTTTCATTTATAAATACATATCATTATTTGTTAAATCCAATATACAGTATCGAATTCGTTATAATCAAGCAATTTTAAGCATTTTATAATTAATTTGTTTCAATGCCTTTTTACATTTTTTATAACTAAGGTCGGTATTTTACAATTAGCTTAAGGCATTTTTTTTTTCTATTTGAACATTTATTCGAATAACTTTTTTTCCATTTATTTTTTAAAATTTAAAACCACTGGGAAGACTAAGAAAAATATAAGCTTTGGACTGCAAAATATTTACTTAAAAATTGTGATATTTTTAGATACATTTTCAATGAATTTTTAATTTTTACTTTTCATTTTGAAATGCTAATTTTTGAAATAAGTTTAAAACTAATGTCCCATCTGTTTGTTTCCAGTTCAATGGCTTTATAGCAACAGTGATTTTTTTTTTTTCAAACTAATTTACTTGGAATGCTGTACCTATTCTTGCGAGTTTGATTATCATCGTAAATGTATAATATTAGAGTTTTTTGCAATAGAAATTCTATACTAGACTATGAGTCTATAATTTATAGAATACGTAATTTGCTTAGCAACAAATAACTGCAAATAAACTGATTGCTTTATTAATCTCCTGTTACAATGTATACTAGCAATAATACGCCGATGACAAAAGCGTCAAAATACAAACTTGCAACTATGATTTACAGCCGGTGTATATTTGTATGAGATTGGAGACTTTTTTTTGCGAATCTCGCTAATGAGCGCCATCTGATTTTAGTGTGAATTAGATGCAAAAACTGAATTTAATTCTGTAGCATTGAAATGAAAAAGTGAAAAAACAACAACAATAGCACGGCCACACAGAGCTGTACATCTATGCGTGCTGATGCATACATACACATATACGCTTTCTTCATTCTTTCATTCCATTGCTATACGTATCTCACTGGTCAACAGATCTATGTAGCCATGTTACTGTTGTTGTTTTTTTTCTCTTTTTCGATTCAATTCATTGTAACTGAATTGAGTTCAACTATGGAATACAAGATGGCACAGATGAGGGGAATTCGCATTTTGTCTCTTCATAGGCTTAGCCGGTTGATGATTTATTAATCAGAATGCTATTTCCACCCCTACCTCTGTAATTTATGTAAATTATCAATAAAATGAATCAGCGATATAAATACCATTCAAATAAAATGGATATAAAAACCAAAAATATTTTCTTCCTTTTCATCATTCACACGACATTAATATCATTAATAATAAATCAGAAAGATATTTATAAATTTTATTGTTTCAAATTCGACAAAATTATCATATATGCATCATGAACAAAAAAAAAAAACATTAAACTTTCGTAAATATAAATAAAACCTGATTTTGACCACTTGAAATACCATAAATTCCATTCTCAATCCGTATTTCACCAATAAAAAGAGAAATATTTTTGCGTTTGAATTTGTCGCTCATAATTGAATAGTCGCTGAAGCACAAAAAAAAACAGTTATATACATGCAGCATAATCGTGAAGCATACTTAAATACAAACGTAAGTAAATCATACGGTAACCTTATGTGAATGCTAGTGAAACTATTTGAAGAAAGGCAAAGAGAATGCAAAAAAAAAAACAACACTATTTGACTTAGATGCCATAATACGAGTACACTCGCACATTTAATAAAAAATTACAAATACATGTTTGAATGACTAACACACGTCGCATGTTCATTTCTCTTCGCTATATAATAATATTTCAATGTGCCAGTGTTGATACTAGATGTATATGCATAAAAAAAGAGATAAAATAGTCAACAGTAGCTGAAAGGGAATATACATACGGCTGTTTGAGTGTCTTTTGTTTTCAAACGAAAAGATATTCAGCACGATCTTACACACTTTGTTCAAGCTATTTTGTAACTTTGCTTTGCCAAGATGTTGTTGTACGTGCGACCGCCCATGTGTATGTGTGTGTATTGGTTATTATGCACTTTAACTTTCAGCGTATGGTTGTAGTTGTAAAAAGTAAAATTGAGTGGAAAAAAATAATGGTGAGTGAAGCGAGAGAGTGAGCGAGTGAAAATGTAGACCTTCGTAATGACACGGATAGGAAAGTTTAAATGCAAAGAGCAGAATATACTCACACTTAAAATGATTTTGACATAAAGCACTGATACTGTACGGTTGAATGGAGAATGAATTCACACACAAAAAAAACTGTCTCATAAACGAGGAATATGACATCAATGACTATTACTAATGATCTGCAGCACACAAAAAAAAATCAATTTGATATCGTTCAGACTGAAGAATAAAGACATATGGCAGACATGGCCTTTTCTCTCAAATTATCAATTTCATATTGCGATACGTGTTATTGATATTTTTCTGTATGTACTGATTACTCGTCACACTGTAATAACACATGATGCACTCTAAGCAATCCTATGTTATAATTAACACTAATATTCTATTTGATACAAAATGAAATAACAATAATATACTTACCAAATAGTTTTCATTGCTTACGTGGGTTGTTTTTCTTTCTGTCGATTTTTTTTTACTAATTAGTTGTTATTCATCCGTGAGTTTTTACGTGCGACAAAGTAAAACAATCTCTTGTTTCATCTTTTTTTTGTGTTTTGTTTTGTTTTGCAAAAAAAGAAATGGTTGAAATGAGCAAGTCGGAGCAAGTACTTGAAATGAAATTGTTGTGAATTAAGTGCGAAAATCGAAACGATAAAGTCATAAACGTTGTGTTAACACTCACGAGACCGAATATAACGAAAGATGAAAATAAATCAATTTCTATCAATGTAAAATTAAAAACAGAAAACAAAAATGGATTTCCGACCGAAAGTCTTTAGTTTTAAATCATTTTAATCAAACATTTGATTGACTTTTTTTTTGTTGTTTTGGGATTGATTGTATCGTCGTTTTTTCTGCGCTGAGATTGATTTTTTTTTCTGTCAATTTCCACTGATATTACTGACGTAATTCAATGTACAGTTTATGTGAGTCACAATGCACTGGAACTAAAACGATGGCTACTTTAATTTTAATGCACCACAATCACGATTGTTTTTATTTTGTTTTTATTTAATTGTTGTTCAGCTGATGAACGAAAATGAAAATAAATTAATAAGAATAAAAAAATTTCGTAAGGGACCTGTTTTTCCCTCGCGATTCACTTTATTCACAACAAAAAAACATGGCAGCCACACAAAATGAGTGAGAGCCTGACTTGCAATGAAATAAAATGAATATACGACGAGACAACACCATTCGAAAATACACACATTGATACGTCTAATTGATTTGGTTGTATACGGTATATGTGGATGTGTTTGTGAAGACTTCATACGGCACCGTGTATGGCGTACAGCATGGAAATTGCAAAACACCAATACACAAAATAGCAGCTATCGGGCGTGCGTGTGTGTGTATGGGTGCACACGCATTCACCGTATGCTCAAATAGAAAGAGAGGTTGATGAAACTACGAACCTAACGAGTACAGTCAATCAAAATGATAAAAACACAACAACAATACAGTACATTGTACCGAATGTGAAAAGCGAATAGTATTACCATCGGGCAATAATTGCCAGATTTAAAAAAAAGAAGCAAGCAAAGGAAACTCTGTTAAATGATTAGGCATTTATTTTTAATATTTATTTTGATGAGATTATTGATGATGAAAATGATTTTTTTTACATTCAAAACTTTTCGTCGCATTTCCAGTGCAAAAGTTTCTTTTTTCTTCGACTATGTATGTCTTCGACTTCTTCGACTATGTAGAGGTCCAAAAATAGTTAATAAGATAGGCAATAGAATCAATCCATGCACTGCACCAATTACAACGATACCCAAGTACATGCGGAAGTAAAAGATTCGGAATATCTGTTGAGAGAAAAAATGCAGCCATGACATTGTTTTTCAAATTTTATGTTATTTTCAAATCACGTCGGACTTACTTGTGATTTGGCGAATGCTAAGACTAAAATGCCTGAAAATGTTGTAAGCGTAATTCCTGATAAAAAACTGCCGCCAAATTATTGCAAATAGCAATTATTTTTGCAAATAGCTTCATTAGCTCGTTCTACATTCGGCCCGTTTGCTTCGAAAATCAACACCAATTCCAATGGACTAAAAAAATGAAATCAGTGTTAGTTCTCTGGATTCTCTCATCGTAAATCGATTACATTTTTTCTCAGTTTTTGTAATACATACCACAACCAAATTAACTAAAGAAATGGCATTCAAAGAAATGTTCCATATCCACATCATGCCACCCATATTAATTAGAATGAGTGAAACGACCAGAAGTATAACGACTGCAGCAATAAAATCAAAACCAGTTAAAATGAACGAAACAGCAAAAATATTTGCCAATGAAATGCCCAACGAAAATAATGTATCTTGCCAAATAGTTAAATATTGCTCATAGAAAACGTAGAAAATGCTGTAAACATTGGAATTTGTGGTTGGTGTTGGTGTTGTTGTAAATTTTCGTACATAAAGACGACTGGTTTTACCTGTATGGAAAAAATTTGGCCGATTCGTCAAGTGTTGAAATTTCATTTTGGATATCGTCTCCAATTTTCTGGCCTCTCTACTACTTACTATTTAGAATAAAAAAAGACCAAATTTGTGTTCTTCCTTCACATTTTACGTTTAGATACGTGACAAATTGAAATTTTTGTTATCTCTATCAAAACATAATGATTGTCATTAAATAGCAATATACCTAATGAAATTCAAGCAATTTTGTCCGTAAATGTACTTAAATTTTGTCAATTGATACCGAATAAAGAGTGTGACACACAAATGCTAAATGTTTGACTAGATATGTCAGTGCAAGTGATATGTAATCATACAAAAAATGCATGAAATTGAAATCGGACACGGCAATAAGAAAACGCGAATCTTACAAAATTTTAACTGATCTTATCTTATGACTTACCATTTAAATCATTTTTTAACGAATTCTTAACACTTTTTTAGTTCGCACTCTTATTATAGTAATTTAAAGATTATTTTATTGGTAAGCAAAATAATATGGGTAGTTCTTATATTTTAATATCAAAAGAATTAGCAAAATTTGTTTATACGCATCTCTAAATAATAAAATTAAACAATATATATTTTTGTTTTTCTATATTTAAAAAAATACTCCATGGAAGTTTGAATTAGATACAGAAAAGAGTGATGAATGGACATACAAAATTGTTCGGATTAAAATTAAAACAGTTTAATACGCTCGAGGTTCACTTTAGTCACAAAAGAAAAAAATGAATAGGCTTTGTGGAGTAGTGGAAAAGTAATTGTACAGTACTTGCTGCCGCCTTTGTTCCTTTCTCATCAACTTCAATTTTGGCACTGTGAAATATCCCATCGACTTCCAAAGGAGTTGTCGCGAAATCGGAAATATCCGGTGATTCGTCGCAAAATAAATGTTTGGCACCCATTTTTTTCATGATCCAAGATATAAACACAAATAATTGAATGTGTGCGCTTCATATGAGTCAGTTTAATATTCGTCTATACCTTTTTCATATCCAAATTTTGTTCGAATGACATTTTCGGGAGTTTAACATCAATCTCTTTCCAATCATTATATAATAATTTCTCTGCTGTCTTATCAAATTATTCACGCGAAAATCGACTCAACGTTCAATCGACTCAGCACTGGCGTTTGTGCATCATTTCAACCCAACTATCGTTATATCCATGAAATCGTTCTCTTTGAGTGTTGTGCAGGCAGAATGGATTTATCCAACCACCCTTGAAGTAGGAAGCATTCACCAGAACCATGCCAGTTAATTTATTAATTGTTCCTGGCTTTAGCATATTTTTAATTTCGTTTTTGGTGGTATTTTCAATAAACTCATTGATAGCAATGCGACTATTTTCAGTGTTGTTTTTAAAATCCATCTTCTCAATGTATGTTTCTATATCTTCTTTGAACAAATTTCTAATTGGTCCACTGCAAAAAAAGTACATTTTAATCAATGATAATAATGAAAAGTAAATTGAATGAAAAAACTTACTTCAACGCGATATTATTGAACACAAAAGTTTTATCGGCAGAAACAAATTCAACTTTTTCATAATCATTTAGTTTTGAACGAACGAGCCACTGTCTCTTTGTCGACATTCTTTAAACACAGAAGCTTCTCTAAGCTGCTTTTTGTTTTATTGGAAGCACCAAAACACGATCAATGCTGTACGGTGATAAGATCAAATTTTCCCTTTTTTGCATTTGTTGATCGTTTTCAGTAGTTTAAAACTGAATTCCCGCTGTCTTTCGGAGAACAAACACTGCTCATCTTCACCGCTTGGTATAGATTTTTCATCAATACATGTTGTTGTTTTGCGATGGCTGTTTTAGAGTGTTCTTAGTTTACTATTTGAAATCTGAAACTGTACTGGAATACAACTCACGACTTTTAAATATCGAATACATCTATTGATGCATTTGAAAAGTACGTATGTATTTGTTCAGGGTGTATTCAGGTCCTTTTGAACGCATTAATAGATTATTTGCGACGGTATTGTAATAGCAACGACTTTTTACCAAAGTTCGTAAAATGGATAAATATGCTAGCTGATTATGAGAGTTTATGACAACAATTTTGCTCTGCAAATTCAAATCTACTGAAAAAATTTACAATTTCAACAAAAGTTGATGATCATTGATCAAGCAAAGGAAACTCTGTTAAATTATTAGGCATTTATTTTTAATATTTATTTTGATGAGATTATTGATGATGAAAATGATTTTTTTACATTCAAAACTTTTCGTCGCATTTCCAGTGGTGGTGAAGTGCGTGCGAAAGTTTTTTTTTCTTCTATCGACTATGTTTGTCTTGGTAGAGGTCCAAAAATAGTTAATAGGATAGGCAATAGAATCAATCCATGCACTGCACCAATTACAACGATACCCAAGTACATGCGAAAGTAAAAGATTCGGAATATCTGTTGAGAGAAAAAATGCAGCCATAACATTGTTTTTCAAATTTTATGTTATTTTCATACCACGCCAGACTTACTTGTGATTTGGCGAATGCTAAGACTAAAATGCCTGAAAATTTTGTAAGCGTAATTCCTGATAAGACACTGCCACCCATTTTGCAAATAGCTTCATTAGCTCGTTCTACATTCGAACCGTCTGCTTTGCAAAAGGCTCGTACTATATGCGAAACAAACTCAACACCAATTCCAATGGACTATAAAATGAAATCAGCGTTAGTTCTCTGGATTTTCTCATCGTTAATCAATTACATTTTTTCTCAGTTTCTTTTGTAATACATACCACAACCAAATTAACTAAAGAAATGGCATTCAAAGAAATGTTCCATATCCACATCATGCCACCCATATTAATTAGAATGAGTGAAACGACCAGAAGTATAACGGCTGCAGCAATAAAATCAAAACCAGTTAAAATGAAAGAAACAGCAAAAATGGTTGCCAATGAAATGCCCAAAGAAAATAATGTATCTTGCCAAATAGTTAAATATTGCTCATAGAAAACGTAGAAAATGCTGTAAACATTGGAATTTGTGGTTGGTGTTGGTTTTGTTGTAAATTTTCGTACATAAAGACGACTGGTTTTACCTGTATGGAAAAAATTTAGTCGATTCGTCAAGTGTTGAAATTTCATTTTGAATTTCGTCTCCAATTTTTCTGGCCTCTCTAAGTGCGGCGATAAAGTCATTGGACGTGGCAACGGTTGTATGATAGCTCATGAAATATACATTCGTTAAATGTTGATCGTATGAAATATTAACGGCCTAAAAAAATTAAATTGAATTGAATCAGTATTTTAACCATTGCATTTATTGTATGGTTGCTAACATTTGCATACGATGGTTTTCCGGCTTTTGCACAATTTGCAGTTGGGATATCTTTGAGGAAGAATTTTACCAAAAACTGTTCAAATGTTTCCACGTTCGGTCGTTTTACTCCCAACAAATCATACTCTTCATCAAATCCTCTTGTACATTCTCTACAAGATCTATTTGTACTATCACTGGGACAAAACTGATTGTCTTGATCAATTTTACAACACGTTTCTACACTCAACCAATCAAAATAGTCATCTATGAACGACGATGGTGGTTTTGCCAGTTTTGTTCTGAATTATTTAATTGAAGATTAATGTCAATTGATTATAATCATATATATTAGTTAATTTTGATTTGTGCTTGCAACATACACGTCGGAATTCATTGATGCCATATACAATTTAGTTATAATTGAATCTTCGTTGCATTTTTGACCTCCGCATATTAAATCTTGATTGTAAATTAGACTCATGTTCAGAGACGTGCTCAGCACAAAATATACTGGTGGTCCCATTGCCAATAGCTCATTCATAACCTGAAATTGGTGTTTTTATTATGAAATCAATTTGATTTTGCTTGAAGCCTATATATATAGATATTTACATTAAAATATTTATAAACATGGGAATCTGTTGACATGGTCAATTGTTGATTTAATCCAATTTCAATTTTCGGAATAACATATATCGAAGCACCCGTTACAATTGTGAACAATACTATTATGATGGTTTTAAATATCCTACAGAAAGAAACGCTGGTACATCTCATTTAAAACCCTAAAATTACTAAAGCCTTACTTGTTTTTAAGAAGGTTTGTCGTGCAAATCGTTTCAAATACTGATTTCAAGCAGCTTTTTATCGGTACGTCGTCATTGTTTTTCGAGCTCCGAATGCAACACAATATATCTAAACGATCATTCTACAACGAAATATTGTTTTTGTTATTTTCAAATAAATGTCCACCATATTCTACTTACATTATATCGAATCATATCAATGGTCATCAATGCTATGAAGGCAGTAATTTGTAATAAGAAATTAAAGCATATAGCAACGGTTGCATATAAGGCAAATGTTTTAACGGCCGGCATTTCGTTGAGTGATCCGATTCCAAAGCAGCTGGCTTGTGAGATTGCCGTAAGCAATATAGATGGTCCAACTTCAGCCAGTGCATCAGCGACTGCATCACTTGATGACGTATATTTTTTTACATCAAGACGTTGATATGCATGAACCAAAATGAATAAATTATCAACGCCAACGGCCAAAACCAAAAATGGAATTACTTCAATGGTCAACATTGTCGTGGGCAAGTCTAAGAATCCAAAAATTCCCAAACTACAGGCGACCGATGACAGAACGATTACAATTCCTCCGATTGCGAGTGTAAATTTCGAATAAAGCTATAGAGAAGAGAGTCAATTTTAATAATATCTTCCAAGATCAACATTATTATGAATAAATACCAAAATGGTTCCAAAATTTTTGAAATTTCCTAACGCAATTGCAACATAGATAAACATAACACTGTAGCTTATGATGACTGTGTATGTTTCACCTTGTGATAACTCATCAATAGCATCTTCAATTGATCGTTCAGCTGAGTATGCAATGTCCATATGCTCCGATGAGAAGTTTTTTAGAAAGTTTATAAAACTACAATTTAATCGATATAATAATTATCTTATTATTTCTCTGATTCTAAACTTACTTCTTTTCCCATTCTAGCGCAGGTTTTAATTTCTCCTTATCCTTCGAATTGTTGATTATATACGAAATAATCACACCAGTTGATAGTTTATAATCGATCGATTCACCTGAACCCGGTTTTTTATAGCCTCCCAAAGCAATTGCGGGGTCAATTGGGCCACCGTATGGTCCAAAACAACTTACATCATACGGATTACTAAATTAAAGAATTTTATTTAGAGTCGATTTCAGACATTGTTACATCTAATCACTCACCCCATACATTTGTCTAACTGATTTAAATAGTTCACAGTAAATCCCTCTATATCCTCTGTTTTATTAAATTTCTCCATTTTATTTTCAAAATAACCGAATAATGATTGAACCACACATTGTGATGTTGTGGACGGTTTTTCATTGGCAGCCGTCATTGGGGCAAAGCAAATTTTTTCCAATCCATACTCGTTTTTTCCAATTTGTTCAATGGATTGTTGTAATTGAAATACAGCTTCCAAAAAGGGTTTATTGAATGCCGGACCAAAATTGAGTGTTCCAGATTTTGTGTCATGTGTAATCTGAAATATTAACAAATCAATCGCTTTGCATTTCAATGTTTAAAACCAATGAACGTTCTTTACATATTTGGAATCAGTTGGTTTGATATAAATCTGTGCCGTTCGATAGAATGGACCAAATGTATTATCGAAGAAATCTTTTTCCTGTCGTGATCGACTGTGTGGAGCAGCCCATAGTTCGACGGGATCAGTGGTTATTTTCATAAAAAATACACCGACACTAATCAAAGGTATGATTATGATGCAAACAATTAGCGTCATTAATGGATAACTGGTAAAAACTGAAATTGACAAAAATAACATTATATTGATTCAAACTAAAAGTGTGATCAAAGACTCACATTTTCCCCAATGTCGAAAAGCAATTGTAAGCAATTTATCTACTTTCGGTGTACCTGCGATACACTTTGGAAATTTGGATGCTGTATTGGATAGACATTTTTAGATCGTTTGGTTAAACGGAAAGATGATAAGGTGTAATATTCATTTAGAAAACCAACCTGGTATAAGAAATAGCACGAGGAATGAACATAAAAATACAATTATAACTACGTACAATGTTCGAACAAAAGGATTTTCAGGTTCCACTGTTTCACCAGGATCTTTTTCGTTTGTAGGACATGACAAACTACAGTCTACGCATGAACAAGGTACTGAACTCTGAAAAAAAAAAAAATTAAAAATTAAAAGGGTCCAAAAGGAGGATACTTGAGATTATGCTTACGTCATATGCTTCATTGCACTTTTTTGTATCTGTTCGGAACGCACGTTCCGCATTATCGAACTTGTAATTTAATTGAAAGGGAACAAACGGATTATTTTCTGCATCACCCATAAATTCATACTGAAGAACGAACAAAGATTTATAAAATATTTAGGACCATCAATGTACTTTGTTACTATTGAATAGAGAACAGAACAAACCCATCTTTTTGCAGTACATGTTTTTGAGTCATACAGACCACATGTACCCATATCCAAAACATACTGTCCAGTAGATGGCATAACAATACCCTTACAACTATTGAAAACTCCTTCAATATACTAAAAATATTAGTTGTTATTACTTTATTCAGAATATTTTTGAAAATTTATATTGACGAACCTCTTCACTCATGTAAAAGTCGACCGCATTTATGTATTTATCTACAAATAAATCGCACACTTTTACTTTAAATATGATAAAGTATTTTTTAAGGTATACTTACCCTTTTCATCGCCTGTTTTATAACCAGTTTCATTATAAGTTTCAATATCGACTATATAGGGATCCAAAAATTGACTATGTTTTGGTGAACAATTTAGTGCGCAAATGGATTTTTGAAAATTCTTCAAACACGATGAACATCGACCAAACATACTGCTGAACAGTTTAAAATTATTTTCCATAATTTGAACCATTTCAGCATTACAACAAAATAACTGCGACTCTACGATGAAATTAAACGAAATGTTATCTCGTTTCTGATGATTTTCATTAGGATTGTTTAATTTTACCATTTTTATCATTTTCAAAAAGTTCGGGGCATCGATCCGACAAAATTTTCCGTGCTGCTTCATCATCAAGAGGCTTACCAGGTCCATCATATGGGCAATTGAATGCCTTTTTAAAAGGACCTTCTTCATATACCTTGCAAACTCCATGCCAAATGCAATGCCCATCGCTAGCAAATGCCACTACCAATAAACTTAACAAAACTACAAATATACGGAGGACTGGCCGAAAAAAAAATTCAAATTAGAATTGGGAAGAACACTTTATTATGAATTAAAAAAAAAAAATTACGAATCCGTACCACACATCTTGAATATATCACATAAAAAGTACTATTTCTAGAGAAAAAAAAACGAAAATTTCACACTAAATCCGATAAGGTGGTTTTTGATCACTTTGAAACAACGAAATGAAAGACAATTGCTTTTTTCAATCGCATAATACCTTTTCCGAATAAAATGGCACAGCTGCAAAACTTATCAAATCAATTCATTAAGTGGACATGAACAATGTGGAATACAAATCTTATCGATTGTATAAATATATATCGTAAGAATGTGATAAGGGCAAAAATGTGATCACTTGAGACTGTTGATGAAACAGGTGTGCAATTTTCAATGAGGCGGTAATCATCAGTGTTTGTTGTTTTTCGTTTTTAAATGTAACCAATTGGACACAAATATTGAAGTTGATACAATGTTTATGAAAATCAACGATGTAAGCTAATATGAATGCGAGATAAGGAACTTTGATATATCATTTATTCTCATGATTCATTTTACGCTTTTATAGGTTTTTTTTAAACAAAAAGTATTTCCGGCGGTGCCAATAAATCATCGTCGCAGATGGCATTTGGGGTAAATTTTTACTGTTTCATTCAATTCTTATCTTTATGTTAATTAGAGATATAAATATCAAAATGAAATCGGTTAATTTGTTGAAAATCTAATCAGTTAGTGGAAAATGGGTTGGCATCATAAAATTGAACGGGATAGCGATTTTTTTTTCAATAGCGGCTGTCGATTCCAAACATTCATTAAAATGTGCATTTGTATGGACGAAAAAAATAATATTTTAAAGATGAGACGAATATTCTTGGCACCTTTTCTATATCATTCAGTATACTGTGACGACATTGAAATTTAAATACGTTTATCACTTTGGTGGTCACCATCACCAAATCCAAATTAAAAATATTAAGCAAAAAATATTGTGATCATTCAAGGGGAGATTCATATTAAAAGTGTAGTTTTCACATTTCTTCCAAACGGTAAATTTCAAATTTGAACGTTCACTTAAAATGTTTCGGTAACAAACTGAACGAAACGTCATTCTCAGTATACAAACGTCACGTCCTGTCAATTGACTTATGTCAATTTCACTATATTTTCATTTAATCACCCAAAAACATTTCTCGAAACAGAAATTTAATACTGTAAATTATAGTGCCTTTATAACATTAAAAACATATATATATATATTATGCTTTAATTATTTCAAAATGAATAGTTTTGTAAATTTTTATTACCAATGACCGCTAGTGAGACGAAATTATTACTTAAAAGTAGACAGAATAAGTCGATTGGTTGTGTGATTGAATGTGTGTTAGATAAAAATCAAAATAAACGAATTATGAATGAATCGAAAAATGATAGTGGACAAGATGTTTTTTTTGAAATTCCCGTAATTATAACATCATCGCCATCCACCGAATCGGAGGCATCAAGAATGTATAGAACTGTGAAGCTACCGGGTGATTCCGATGAAGAGATCGATACATCCTTCATAAATAACAACGACAATAATAATGCAATAAACCGTCGAATATCTGCCATACGATCACTGAGCCCAGGCAATTTGAATTCATCGAATGCTTCTAGAGGTGTATGTACATCATTATATCATATAACAATAACATGGCACTAAAAAAAATTGTAATTGACAATATTAAACTTTAGACCAGACATTAGGCTCGAGCTATGCATATAGCGGCTGCTATTTTATAGGTGCTATTCATAGGCGCTATTCAATTCGTGTGCTGTGTGTAACACCGAGTAGGAATATCATAGCCTACTATTCTTTTGTACATTTGAATGTGAGTACGAGAGAGATGTAGAAAATAACGCACTATATGCATGAATGCATTAAAACGAGATAAATAGCGCCTATGAATAGCAGCTATGAAATAGCAGCCGCTATTATCCATAGCTTAAACCTAATGTCTGCTTTAGACTAGTATTCGTTTGTCGAAAAAAAAATCATGGAAAAACGAAAAATCCCATAAAGTTTTTATTGAAGAAGAGATACATAAATGAAATACTAAAATGACCGATTTTTTTCATTCATAATATTGATTTGATATTTTAATATTTCTTTGAACTTTTAGAATGTTCGAAGATGGTCTCAGTCTCTAACAAATGCTTCCAAGGCACGAAACCGATTACCAACCATCAATATGATGCCATCGCGTTTACAAAAGTGTAAGTAATGTGTTCACATGTACAATTTAGATGCATTTAATCACCTTTTTTGCTTTTCATTCTTTTTACAAAATAGTACGTACGCTATCTATGGATGGTCAACTGCATCGCATTGTGGATGATGAATCGGACTTTGAACAATTTGTGCAAGAAATAGAGCAATATGATTACTTAATGGAGGACAGTGCAACAGCGGCGCAAATGCGAAAGTAAGTTCAATCCTTAAAATTATGAAAAGCCATTCTCTTTTAACAAACTCCGTCCGTCCATTTTCAGCAAAATAATGCAATCTCTTCCACAAACACTGTCTGTTAAACGTCAAATCAAAGCAAGAGTGACGCTGATTGTAAAAGAAAGAAGCCAAAGAATAGGAATGAATCGATGGAAAAGAGCACTGCACTTCTTCGGCCTGTGTTCGACCCAGTGTAAACTGATAGTTCGTAGTTTCATGCGAAATCTAAATGTATGGAATGATTCATTGAAGGAAATTGAAGGCACTTTTGGCGCTAGTGTTCAGACGTATTTTCGTTTTTTTCGTTTGCTCTTCATTGTTAACCTATTTCTCATGGCCATTACATTCATGTAAGCGCGTTTATCTCGACGTCACACTTGATGCAAATTAATTTGACCTTTTTTTAAAAAAAAAATAGATTCATAGTCTTCCCGCAAATGTTGGGTGATTACTTCCAGCAAAGAGATGATGCAGTATCTCCAAGATCACATGCAACTAATGTGGATGAGCTAAAGAACGATGAAATCAGTGTTCTCGATATCATTACGGCAGAGGCAAGTATATTTCACTTGATTTTTTTTTTTTTCAAATAAATTATTTTGACCGTAAGAAACGCTTTCGAACACAAATTTTTCACAATGTTTATTTTGTCTGAAGCCAGCTTTCACACTTGCATTAAAATCATGTGCACAAATAGACACTTAGAAATCAAATGCAATTGGAACAGGTAACGAATGAAAACGAACACTTATTCAGCTCGATGTTCAGTTTTGTAGTAGATATATTTGCATGACTTTGATAACATTACCGACCTTGAACCATGCAAGTTGAACATTGTAAATATATTTACACCCATCCATAGTAGTAAAACATTGCAAATGCTTTACATGTTCATCTATCATGGTACAATTTCCAGGTGAACCGTTTTGTTTATCCCGTATTTTGGATGCATAAATGTTGTCGGTGTTTTTGTCACGGGTCTCAATGAACATAACTGACATTCTTTTTGCACATTGCAGGGTTCACTAGAGAATTCAACGTTGTTCTATGGAGCATACACTGATCAGAGAATAAAACTGTATGGTTTCAGTACGTACAGTCTACCATTTGCCTATTTAATGACGATGGTTTGTTTTTATGCTCTAACATTCATCACATTCTCAATAACGTAAATATGCTGCTTTGATGATGACTCCATTCATACTATTATATCAATTGATTCATTGATACTTTCAGTACGGCTGAATCTTATCGAAAGTCATTCATAGCAACATCCGGCGGCGAAGTTTTACGAGCGCACAAACTGTTTTGCTCTTGGGATCTGGCAATTTCAAATCAAAAAGGTAACATTTAAAGCAAATTTAAGAAATTTGCACTGCGAAATATACCGCGAAGCAAGTAATGTGTCAATAGATTGTATATGATCCTTAAAATAAATTAATTGCCTTTCTTTATGTTTGCAGCGGCTGAAATGAAACATCACAATATTTATATTGAGCTGAAGTCAATCGTGAACCAAATATATGATAACGAATATTCCCTGTCGATTCAGCATAAAATGTGCAGTTATATGGTGTCATGTGTGATTTGGATATTTGTTATCTTTATTCTGATCGTCATCGGCAGTTCGATAGTTTTCTTGAAAGATATCACAGAGGTTTGTGTCATTTGTTGTGCCTCCAATTGTCTTATCACTATATTTCCGTTCAATTTTATAGTATTTCGGTGACAATGGTGATTTTTATACGACTTATATTGAGAACACCCCGTTATTTATTCCTGTAATTGCGGTACTTCTAATTTTACTGTGTCAATTCCTCTTCGAGTGTTTAGGATCGTATGTATACATATCGAATACGCTACACCTTTCTTTTATACATATAAAATGCATGTCAATTTTTCGTTCATCATTTTTGCTTCCAGTCTGGAAATCAAGATCGTTCGAATGTACAGGTCGCCTCGATCTCAACTGCATATAGCACTAGTTCGTAATTATTTATTGAACATTGTTACAATCAGTTCGTTGGCTTGGTTTTGGTTGACGAATTCAGGCGAAAAGGTATTCATATTTATCGAAAATAATCTTGCAACTTCTGATGGAGAAGAGTTTAACAAATATTTTTTTGACAGAATTGCTGGGAGACTTATTTCGCTCAATGTATTTATCGTCTTATACTAATTGAATTTGTGATTGTCGTTTGCATTGGTTCAGTATTTCGTTTAATTCGATTTTTGATTTACAAACATCTGTGGTCCAATATCGGACTGTCTGAGTTCAATATATCACGAGGTTGTCTGGCTCTGATTTTCAATCAAACACTTCTGTGGATCGGAATCTTTTTCTCGCCACCACTTGCAGCTGTCATTGTTTTGAAAATGGTTGCGACCTTTTATTTGAAGGTAAATTTTGATGGAAAAAAATTGAGTTCTTTATTAATAAAAAATAAATTATTCTTACAGAAAATGGTATTGATTAACTTTTGTAAACCGCCTTCGAAACTTTGGCGTTCTTCACAAACCTTTACACTATTTTTGGCGATGATATTTGTATCCTTGACAATTGTGATTGTCATTGCACTATATGTCTTGACTCAGTAAGTTCAATGGAATTGTAAAATTATCAAGAGATAATATGGTTGAACACATATTTTATTGTTTTAGAATGACCGTTAGTAAAACGTGTGGACCTTTCCGAAATCGCATTTCCATGTTTTACGTTCTTCGTGAGGATATTTTGGGTCTCAGAGGGGTAACACAGAGATAGATACAACCATCAAATTTTATTGCTAACATCTTTTTTTTTTATTTTCAGAATTCATTTGAAGATCACTTTTTCTATCAATTTTTCATGTTTCTTCTTCGACCCGCTGCCATTGGATTGCTTTTATTGACTTTATGGTAATTTTACTTGTGAATGTTGCCACTATACATATTTTAACTAATCGGTTTTTTACATTGTGTCAGTGTGCTCGTCTACTATTTGCGTTCGAAATCAAGGGCTCGCATTGAAATGGTGAAATTGCTCAAACAAATGCTTTACACAGAAGCCAAAGATAAAGAATTCTTGTTGGCCAACATAACACGGATAACTCAAAACAATGGTAAATGGAGAGGGTGAATTTGTTTCTTAAAAGATTAAATGCAAATATTTTCTTACAGAGTGGCTTCTGGATGATTTCATGAACCAATCGCAATTACTTAAACTACACAAGAAAAACGGAAACTTATTCGCCGATCAAGTGAACGGCAATTCTTCGGTACCAATCGAAGACGATGACCATCATCAAAAATATAGAAAAGCGCGGTTCAACGGAAGATTGACTAACAAGGGTAATAATATGATGGACAAAATTGCTGCCATTCGACTATTTACGAATAATAATCCATTTTGTTCCATAGGTATAGAAAAAACCATACGAAAACGACGATCATCAACTTTTGAATAGACTTCAAATCAGCAATAATATTTTCTTCGATTGTTACTTAAATTTCGATTTTATCTGCTTTTACAAAGATAGAATAGTTGAGCAACTGAATTTACGTTATTGTTTTCTATAGTTTTATTGAATTTGGTTCAGGTTGTGAACACATGTTAATATTTAAATTATTTAAAAAGAATACATATCTCTTAATATTTGTATATGTGATATAGTCACAAAATGTTTGAAATATTTTATTAAAGAATATTACTTAAAATCAAATCAAAATACATTTTTTTAATCGTTTCGATCACTTAGTAAAATAAGCTTAGTAGAATAAGCTTTTAGTAATCAAACGATATACTGGTTCGAAAGATGTTTATCACTGGAAATTTAGAATGGATTTTGGCTTTTGTTTGCATTAACACAAACCATAAATTATTTTATTTTTCCAGTTTTTTTGTAGTTCAAAAGAAATCTTGAAAGAAATGATTCCGATTGGCCACCAAATGTTCAAATATTCCAGTATGAAGGTTAACACTTTATGTATTTTATTTATTTTAAAGTCTAGCATTCCTGATTTACTGGCCACAACTAAAGATTTTAATCAGAATCTGATGAATAATCATATTTGACTTTTATATCTATAATTGGTTGCAACAAAACACGCATAAATTCTGAAATGTCACTTTCACCACGTGTGTGGGCCGTCAATATATTGCCAACTGCTATAGATGGTTGAATAGTTTCTTCAAAGTGTCCAAATCCAAATGCAATCCCAAGCTTCTTGCAATCGTCTGGAACGCCATGCATAGTATACCAATGGCAATAGTCTTGTGAACTGCGCTTATCAAAACGAACCAATTGACTAGCATTCCCTTCGCCATTACTCATATGACAATCGGTCAATATTCCGGGATAGTGCATTAAGGAATTGTTTATTGTGTCAAAGGTATTGAAATCGTTACGTGTAATATTCAGTTCACGAGCCTGATCTTCTGTTGTGTCATCTGCCCTTGGCTTCAGCCAAAATTCTACGCTTTCGGGCGCTAGCCGAATTTGAGTTTCATTTTTGATTTTCTCCCATTTAATAGCCGGAAGTGACTTCAAGGATTCCTGTGCTGTAACTGGAACTTTCTCGGTTTCAACGCCGTTGGCCAACTGATTTAATACATTGATAAACTTGCACGGCATGCAACTGTAACATGCATCAACAATATGGTTCTCAGTTATTGCTGGAACGGGAACGTAATTTATTGATTTGTTTTTGAAACGCCCAATCGAATTCAAATAAAGAGCAAGCGGGTATGGAAATTTGCGTGGTAAGTGCATGGAAAAATAAGTGAAATCTTTACAAGTACTTAAATGGTCAGCATTCGATTTGAGAATGCATTAGTGCCAGAGTCCAGTTTCATCTCAGCCAAAAAGAAACACACCTTTTTGTAAATTTGTTTGTTCTCTTCCGTATATAAATCTGCCTGAAAACTTCGTCTCCTCACATTAAATTTTTTGAACAATTCATCAACCAATTCACTTAAATGACGTAACGTTATTGGAACGGCACAATAATTATGGTTATTGTGCTGTGTTAGTTCCAAACGCTCAAAATAATCTGAATGTAAATTTAGTTTCAATTTTTTGGTGGCCATATTTTGACTCCCACCCTGATTTATAGGATTCTTCCGATTTTTGTAATTGCATCGATTCATGTTGTATAAAACAATTTACACTTGTATATTTTTCCAGCTTCTATCTTTGATCACCGATGATCGGATTTGATGAAAAAAAATATTGACGTTTGCATTATTTATACTCATTTTCAGTGTTACCTGATAAGCGTATACATTAAATCGTTATTTCGCTTTACTTGATTTGACAAATGAAAACTACACTTTTTTTATTTAAAAAAACAACAACATCAAAAGGTTTATGTGAAATGTCTCTTTTATTTGGCCGATAAAAAGCGCTAGTTTTTCTTGTTTGTTTGATTATTTCCTCCTAGAACCAAAGTTTAAAGCAACTTCGGAAGATTAACAGATTCAACGCCTTTTTCTAAATTTTCTTCATTTCAAGAGAAAGTCTTTCAAACAAAGCCATGAATTTTCCCAACTCTTTCACATATGTCATTCAATTCAAATTGAGGCCTCAAACTCAGTAACAATGATTCAATTTTGATAGTTGAAATCCTTCTGTCAGAAGGTAAAATTGAAAATTCATCACTTCTTGTGTGTACTCCTTCTTGAAATCAACTCTTTTAAATTAAGAAATTATTGAAAATTTCCTCGTTGATCAGTATTACAAAAAAATGAATAAATTATTCATACATATGAAAACTTTGCGATGAAAAATACCTCGTATTTTGTTAATAGGTAGGTTTTTGTTGGCAATGGTTCATATATGAATCATACATACATATAGTTTATTTGTGATATAGTTTAATGTCAATTTTGATGCACTCTCTATCTTCCATTAAATGTTTCGTTGTCTTTTTTCTACTCTCATTCTGGTTAGTCATCTTTTCACCAATTATATCAATAAGGCTCATGAATGTTCGGGCTATTTTTACATTATTATTCATCGTGAATAATGATAACTGTTAAAGAGTGAAAGTGCATTTCGATAATAAGAATATTTTAAAAATAGAATTTTATTTGCTTTAAATAAGAATGTTGAACGAGTACTTCGCCTATTGTATTCAAATTGAACATTCGTTATAAAGTTGGATTAAATTGATTTTTGTCTTATTTATTGTGTTTCAATTTTTACGTTTGCCGCTTTGAAATCCAAGGCAAAGCTTTAAAATCAATAACATTTCCTACTACATTTACCTAAAAATGCTTCTGTAAGAAAACATTGTCTTGATTTCGTTGAAGCTCAGGATTCGGTTTAAGAATTCAAAATGATAAATTCTGCTCGAAAATGTGTTTTGCTAATATTATTGTGCGCAATATTCGCACCAACTCTGAGCACTGTGTGTGATTGTTCATGTTCTGACTTATGCAGTTCCTGGTCAACAAGAAACAGTATAGTGTTCTCTATGTAGTTTCATTACATATTATTTGATAAATTTCTTTTAATTTCGATAAATAATAAAGGTTGCATCCAATATGGTTGTTATAAAGGCTATTGCTGGGCATCGTGCACGGCAGTTCTTAAACAAGGCGAATGGTGCTACACAACAAAAGGAAGATCTCAAGATTATAATTACGTGAAATGCAATATTGATATGGAATGTGAGCCACAGTGGCATTGCGCTGGACCATGCGCTTTGTTCAGTGCTTTTAATTTGACAAATGTTGAAAACAATGATATATTGACAAATAATATTTAAGTGAAATTTACTAAGTTTTGATTGCGAATACTGAATTCAAAATTTCGACAACATTTTTTGTTTATTGAGAATTTAAATACAAATAGTAAACTATCAATATCTCGAAGTACGGAAAATGTTAATCTAATTAACCATAAAATCTCAATTTCATAAAATTCATGTATGAATAAATAAATGACAGAATTTTGTGATGGCCTCATACATTTAATAAATTTCATTAATTCGTTTATTTTTTTCCGAAATTTGATCCATATGGGCAGTTTAATAACTTTAATCGAATATTTCAAAATATGTAAAAAAAATCTAAAAATAGAACGAACAAAATTTGATTTGTACGTAAATTCATCAAAACAAACTTTTTTTGCTTTTTAACTAGGTACTGATCCTCGTTATTGACGTTATTTGTTTAAATAACTCATAATGGAACTATCAGCTCCAATTTGTTTGTGAACAGAGCACCAAATTCCAATCTGAAAATAGATTTTTTTATGTATGTTCTCTGAAAATGCCAAAGAAAAAAGAAAAACAACTGTTGATGAACTGTTGAAATGTTCATGAAAGCATCCAAATTATATTTCCATTTCACTCTTAATTGTTAAGCCTTTAAGATGATAACAGTTTTTTTAATTAAAAAGAGAAGAATCAGTTCTTTATTTAAAAAAAAGTTCAAGTTTTTTCTTTTCTTTACATTTGGAGTATATATATTTTATAAGCGAAAGTTTGGGTGTCCATCTGTTTCTTTTTATTTATTATTTTTTGAAATACATTAATTTCTTGGTTCTCTAACTACATCAGCTTTGAACTCACAGTTTACACCTATTGGTTCATTTCTTTTTCCAAATCTTCCGGCATATCCTTTTAACAACATTGTAACAATTAAATCTCCATTGGTCATATATGTTTCTTGAGAACCATGTTTTTCAACAATATGTTTCAATCCATAAGATGATATTTTGTAAACAGAAGTTGAGCGAATAATTTGGTCAATAGCAGCAAATGCCTGTTGAATTCTTTTCACATCAAACAACGTACGGTTCTCTTTTCCTTGTCTATATTTTTCGATATTCGCCAAACTTCCTTTGCCCGCGTGGTTTCCATATTGAGAAAGCATCACACCCTTTTCTTCACAGGCTGGAACTAATTCATCGTAAATAATTTTATTTGCCGCTTCCAAAGAAAGCTGATTAAAGTCACTAACTTTGCGAAAAGTAACCGTTGCCATTGTTAAGTTTTCAATTTTAATTTGAAATTAAAAATTTATAATTTTTTCGTATACGATCAAGCGCGATCAAGGGCCTGAGTTTTTTCACCGTTGACTGTCAAACTCATGAAAGTGAGTCACTTCAAGTGACACCGCCCCTGTAGAAGACCCTGTATTAACGGATGTCAAACATCAACGGATGTCAAAATATGCGTTTAATGCCATATTAACCGATCCATATAAACCAACTACAAACGCTAAAAAAGTATCCATTTCTTATAAATGAAAAGTGTCATAACAAAGTGAATTAGTGAATATAAATTGAAGTAACACATTTTTAGTATCAAACGATATTTTAATGTTGAAAATTGTCGATTTGGCAAGCTGACTATAACATAAAACTAGCGAATTCTATATAAATTGAAAAAAATATATACGAAAGTAGTTTTTGATTTGACTACTGATTGCTTTTTATACCTATGTTCAAACTGAAATGGCTCAGCTACAAAACAATATGTGAAATAAAAATCTTATAAATTCCCAAGTCAGTATAATATTCTTTTTGAAGAGTGTACACTCTCTTTGTATAGTTTAATTCGACTCTCTTCTCACTCTTTTGCATAAAACACGTATATTCAATTCCCACTCCTTCCATGTGTACTATGCATACACAACAAGCGTACTGTGTTTGATGCAAAAGAGTGAGAAGAGACTGAGAAGAGTACACTGTACACTCTTTGAAAAGAGTATTATACTGACTTGGGTTACATAAATATGTTTTAATTCTATATTGATCATTTTAGACTGTTGATGGAACAGGCGTGCAAATTTGAATGAGGCATTATCTTGAAAGAAAAAAACAGTTCATCTTACCAAAGCTCATTGTTCTTCGTTATTAGACGAAATTAAATGAACAAATACATTTAATTAATTTAAATTTAATTCGACATACATTTAATTAATTTTAATAATTCGGTTATTTTTAAAATTCCCTTAATTTGATCCATATGGGTAGTTTAATAAATTTGGTCGAATATTTTAAAATATGTAGAAAACATAATGTAAAAATAGAACAAACCAAATTTTATTTGTACATAAAATAAGAGAAGATCTTAGAAGTGGAAATATTGTGCGTTTTATTATTAGATAAAGAAATCTTAAATTATTAAAGTGTACTTATCATTTGCCTATTCAAATAAAGTCGAATGAAATTGGGCATGTCTTTGGACTAGGTATACCTATCTATATCTAATCTATAGATTAAAATTATAAAAATTCAAGATAAAAGAATTTCTGGTAATTTGTTTTTAGGTCAATGCCGTGTTGTTTTCGTGTATTGGCTATTAACAACGAAGAAAAAAAATATCACATCAATTTCACAGTACATTAGTAAGTTGAAATTTACTCTGATTTTCACATTTTTAATTTTAAATAAAAAATGTTCACATTTATTAATATCTATCAAAAAGAGTTAAATTTTTTCTTTTATTATTCCTCTCTTGAAGCAAAGTTTAACAAGTTCAACCTCTTTTTCTAACTTTTCTTCATTTCAAGAGAAAGTCTGTCGTTCAAAGCCATGAATTTTCCTCACTGTGAAATCCTTCCGTCTTTTAAGTCAAGAAAATAATGAAACTTTCCCCGTGGATCATGTGCTACAACCAAAATGAATAAATTATTCAAATAGTATCGATGCGGTGAAAAATATGACCGTAACGTTTCATAAATGAATTTTAAACTTTTATTCGAACTGACACTTGTCATACTTATGAAAAGTGAAAACTTTATTGTTGGAAATACATAGTTTTTTAAAATAATAGTTTTTTATCACTTGAGAAAATATAAAATTCTTTTAGGTGTTATGGTCGAAAGTTGAACAAATCAAACCCTTTTTCTTCACATTCGAAGTGCCCATATTTTCTGGAACATATTTTGAGTATAAAAACATATGTAACGTATTTGGATTGGTTAAATCGTTAAGAAAGTTTCTCCACTAGAGCTTGTTCTACGTTTAATTCGCGATTAAAATGATTGTGCTTGAATTAAGTAAGAAATTGCAAAAGTTTATCGGTGTATATCGAGAAAGTACATCCAATTGGAAGGATATCGTTTATATGTCCGTAATGAACGTTGTCTATGTTTTTGGAATGTTTTCGATCTTTCTAGCAGAATGTTTTTTCTTCATGCTCGAGAATTATAAGGATATAGAAAAAACAACGGGAGCAATAGTCGTAATGATGGCTGGTAATAATTACTATTTGCTTTAATTATGTCGATCAAAAAGCATTTGTCGTCTATTTTCAGGTTGTTCTGGCATCGGCGTCTATTGTGGGGTGGCTTCTAATCTTAAATTAACTCAAAAACTTTATGCAATTTTGCAAGAGCTCGCTGATGATAGTAAAATCACTTATCAGTTCAAGTTATATGTATCCTAAAAAAGTGTTTACTTTTATAGGTTTAAAGTATCATGGTTTCACTGGATTTCAAGAGGCCGAAGAAAAGAGTCAGGTTTTAAGTAAATCGTTGCCAATGTTCGTGATCATTTTCTTCACATTTGGAACAATTTTTCCAATATTGGGGATGTCATTGTGGAACATTTATATGGGAAATTATCAATCTGAAATGTGGCTTTTACCCTACCAAGCCATACCGTTAATTGACAAATCCAATATATTCGAATGGTATTTTGAATTTATTCTTCAAGCTTTTGTCGGATACGTTTTCGTCTTAACAATAACAACGACAGTTACGTTTTTTGGTGGATGCAGTTACTACATTGAAGCATGTTTGAATCAATTTAAGCATATGTTTCAGGAAATCGATCGAAACGGTGAAAATATCGAAACAGTCGAAAAAAATATATTCAATACAATCATTTTCCACAACAAGATAATTGAATTTTTTGAAATACTTGCCAAAGTTTACAGTGCAGCGATATTCTTTCATTTAATATGCAACGTCCTATTTTTCGCGGGAGCTCTTTATCAAACGGAACAGGTAATTGGTGTTGATTCGTGTTCTGTGCTATTTTTGACATCTTTTTCTCACATTTACTTTTTTAGAATCTCGACAACGTTGGCTTTGATCTAATTTTTAATGTTTTGTGCGTGATGGAAGGTTTGTCGTACTCATTTATTTTGTGTTATTTTGCCAATTTAGCAACTTATTCGATGAGTGAGATAGCAAACGTTGTGTGTAACTCGAATTGGTATTCTCAACCACCGAAAATTCAGAAACTATTATTATTGATTATTTCACGAGGTCACAAGAAAAATGAATTCATGGGATTCAAAATCATTTATTGCTCATTGGAATCGTTTACGAAGGTAGACACATTTTCAATTCTTTTTCTTACACATTCATATCATACAATTTTATTTTTAGCTTAACAAAAACGCCACCACTTTCTATGTTCTGTTTCGAAATATTTCCCAAAAAGGATAGAAAGAACGTCAATATGACAAAAAGAATTAAAACTATTTATATAAAAAAAATAAAAGTTGATCATCGTAAAATCTAATGTCATTATTAACAGTCTATAATTTGTTATCTAGTAATCAATAAAAAGATAAACATTCAAAAAAGCAGACGCGTTGCTTCATAAATGCAATTTAATACTCATAAAAAATATGTACATTCCAGTTACAAATATGTGACCATGTGTGAAATATTTATTCCATTTGAATTTATCAATGAATCGACAACCTCGAGATGATCATCTTCATCGCTTGATGTTTCCGACTCCTCTTCGAAAATACACAGAAAATTTCATTTTCCAAATCTTTAAAAGTGGGCCGTTCTTCCGGTTCTATTTCCCAACAAGAAAACATAATGTTCAGATTAATACCACCATCGCAGTACTCAAAGACACAGCAATGAAATCCCTACTACCGTGCTAGATGAAGTGGACGGATTTTTAAATTTATTTGAACGACGCCATGTTACTATACTTGTCCATTACAACGTACATGTAACAGAAGAAACACACAGTCCATGTCCACGCTAGTGGACATAAACGATTTGAACCGTCAATGTGAACTAGATCAAGTATAGAACTTTACATAGGATCATATACGATGAATATGGATTACACAGTCTGTTTCAAAATACCGTCACCAATGTCGACACCATTTGACATCAAAATTTTGACAGTAAAAATATGTGTTATTGTTGTTGTCGTTTCATTGCTGTGCTCAAAGATTAGTGTTAATTCTCCTGTGAAATGTTTCAATTAAAAAAAAATGCGCGGAAAATTGTTTTTATATCTGAAAACATACCACACAAAATATTCTCAGCAATGGCACTGATAAAACTATTTATTTATATGCGGAATGTTGATGTCTTTTCAGGTTCTTTACAATATCGAACCCGGACAACAACAGAGAAACATTACTTGAAATCGAGGTCAATAAAAGATTAAAACGTTTTTATTTCTAAAATTTTATCAATCAAATTCATTGAATTCTACCTTTGCTTCATTTGTTTTCGACGTTTTGATAGCAAGTAACTGTTTTTCACCAAAAAGCCCCTTTCCCTTCAATATCGCTTTGTACACATCAAAATAAAAATCACTTTGCAACAGATCTATAGCTTCTTTACTATCTTATAATCGTATTTGTATTTTGGTAAAATACATTTGATAACGATGAGTAGTATAAATAAAGTGATAGCCAAGGCACACATAAACACAAACATTTAAAAAGTAAAAGAGTTACTAGGCTCAGGTAAGGGGATATATAAGCTGTGACTCTTTTTAAATGGTTAGAATGTGTAGTGAACCATTTTTGAAAGTGAAACACAGTGAGCAATTTTTTTACTGCTACCAAGATTACAACGCTAATAATAATGGTTTATGCACTTTAAGAAATCATTTTTTTCCTTGAACGTATCCGGCGACTCCATTTCTATCTAAAACCTATCTGGTCATTTCATCAAGTTCCATTGGACCTGAAATGGTTTGTGATTGAACTTCACTAAAATGCTTTCGATTTAAAAGTGTGTGTTGCCAAATTACTCATGTTGTGGGTTTCAATTTCCATGTTTCGATTCCTCAAAATAATGATACACACTATTTTTCGAATTATTTTATTATTTCAAGGATATTCATATGAATCTATTATCACGAATAAACGGTTTAACGAATTTTTCATTTTCATTCATATTTGACGTATTCTTCACAGTAAACAAATAAGACATCAAACCACATCATATATGATGTGGATATCGTATACGATAAATCCGTTTTAACCACTCATATCAGTTGAATTGCTAGACATTTCTCGGAAAAGAAAACATAATCATAAAAAACTTGAAGGTCATTTCGTTTATTGAAATGCTAACATTTTTCGCCGAATTTTTTTAAATAAAAGACTAAATGAAGCTGGTAACTCCAATTTGCTCATGGGACCAAAACGAGTTTTAATTCAAGTCTGCATACACTTTATTATTAATAAATTACACAAAAACTCAATTCAAATGTACAGATAAAGTACTTTTTACCTGATGTACGCTTTTAGAATAGAAGCGATCTTATCTAATGATTCTCCGGTCAATATAGTTCTATGGTTACCCTTTATGCTAATAATATTGATCTTGGATGTAACAATCTGTTAAGTTAAATGAAAATCGTTATCAAATTTAATGAATTCATCGTTAATTTAACGACGTTAAATATGTAAATTTTCGCAAATGCCAGACTCACCTCTGAGAGACCATAGTCAGCGGTTAATTGGACATCATTTTCGGTTGATTTAAACAAAATAACATTGGTGGTGGAGATTTTGTGGTCTGGTTCATACACATGAGCTATGACGAGTTTTTTAATTAAGGCATCGGCGGCCAATTGAATAGTTTCCGATGAAAATTTTGTTTTCGGACAAATGAGCTCAGAAATTCGTTTCAATTTCATATCGAATGAAGCGAGTGAGTCCAATGCCTTGGTGGTTTGTATGATGTCCAATTTCGCAACGATAAATCCAAAGTAAGCCAACATATATGATTGGAATTGTAATTCAGTGGTGCCTTCTATGCGTTTGCGATGTGTTTCCATGTACCATTTGGTGTATTTTGGAGAACCGTCAATCATGAAAAGTGTTGCTTTCTCACCGAACTTCTCCAATAGTACCACCATTTCAAAGGCAACCGCTGCACCGAATGAATAACCAATGATGACATACGGGCCAGTCTTTTGTACGGTCTTCATTTGTTTGACATAGAATGCAGCCAAGTCGCTCAATGAAGTCAATGGCGCGTCTTTTGTACACTGCAAACCATAGACTGGTACGGTCAATTTGGCAGCTAATGGTTCCAATGCAGTAACAGAACCTTCAATAGCATGCACCGCAAAGAATGGGGATGCGTTACTTTCAGCGGTTGCTTGAGTTTTAAGTTTGACCAAAACTTCCGTTGGCATCAACTCGTCGGTGAAAACGATTTGAATTCCATCGTCGAAGGCTGTTGTTTGAGTGCTACTAGTTTCAGCACTGCTCATGGATACCGGTGCATCATTAGAAGCTCTCGATTCTGGAAATCTCGTCAATATTAGACCAAAATAGCTTAATCTTCATGTATTCAACTTACCCAAAGCCTTAAGGCTTCCGAATGACAATAGACGAATTTCTTCTGTTGACATCACAATATCGTAGCTTCGTTCCAACGTTTGTTTTATTTCAGCACTTATCAACGAATCCATTCCCAAATCAGCCAATGATGCTTGGCCTGGAACATTCTTCAAGTCTTTCAATCCCAAAATGCTGGCAACACAGCTCACTAAACTGACACCGCTGCTTTCGGCCTTACGCTTTTCCGCAACGACCATTGAAGCGAGCACAGGGTGTGGTTGTTGCATGAAAATATCCATGGTATGTAAGCATGAAACCATACGCTGCAATAATGTACCACCAACAACAATAGTATCGTTATCACCCAAACTTTCAACAACCAAACCAGTATCACCGATGGCACCCCATTGAATCGATGTACCTGGCAAACCAAATGCTTGACGATTTTCCATGATACGTTCCATGGCCGAGTTGGCCAAACCATAATTAGTTTGACCGATATTACCCCGACCGCACGATACTGAGGAAAAGCACACAAAGTAGTCCAATACAGGGCACAAGTCACGTGATGCTGTATCCAAATATTTGGTTCCATTGACTTTTGGTGCGCAAACAGTTTGGAAATCTTTTTCAGTCTGATTTTCCAAAATGTTATCACGTAAAACAGCGGCAAGATTGAAAATACCACCGACTTGTCCCAATTTATTGGCTACATTGAGTAAATTTTGTGCACCCGCCAATGTTGTCACATCATTTGTATCAACTAAAACGTTAACACCCTTTTCGATCCAACGACGAATCATTAATGATTGATAACCTGTCTTAACACCGATACGCGATGTCAATACGATTTTTGATGCACCACGTGCTATCATCCAATTGACTAATTCTAAGCCGAAACCACCCAAACCACCAACAATGACATAGGTTTTATCACTATAGAAATACGTACGTGGTATGGCAGCAATTAATTTTGAGGTCGGCTTTTTAACTTCGCGTGATTCTTCATCGCGCACTTTCACCACGACCTTACCAATGTGTCTACCGCTGGCCATAAAACGGAACGCTTGTTCCACTTGATTTTCATTGAAAATGGTTGTTGGCAGTGGACGAACGGCGCCATTTTTAATACCTTCAGCAACCAAAGTGACAACTAACTCCTTTTCTTTGTCATCACTAGCCATAATTCTATCCAATAAAATACCATGAAATGATGTGTTCTTCAAGAACACAGACATTCCTAGCGGCGAATTGTTGTGCATATCAACTTTTCCGATTTCCAAGAAACGTCCATCGAGACCCAAGCACCGTATTGAGGCTTGCAGCATATCGTCGGCAAGTGAATTTAAAACCAAGTCAACTCCCTTCCCTTTGGTGGCACGCATGATAAATTGTTCGAATGATGTGTCACGCGAGTTACCAATGTGAGCATCAGTCAATTGAGGGAAGGTCTTTTTTAAGAATTCACGCTTCTTCTTGCTACCAACTGTTGTATAAACGATCAGTCCATGATGTAGAGCAACATTGATTGCTGCTTGTCCCACTCCACCGCTACCAGCATGAATTAAAATCGATTCGCCCTTTTTCATTTGACCGCGGACGACCAAAGCATAATAGACCGTTGAATAAACACACGGAACAGTTGACGCTTCTTCCATGCTCCAGTTGTCGGGAATTTCCCACATCATATTTCGTTGAGCAACACAAGTTGTTGCAAGTGCTTTTGCTTGAACCATGGCCATTATACCTGATATTGGAAACATTTGTTTTGATTAAATTTGATTGGTGAAAAAGGGTAAAATGAAAACTTACGTTTTCCGTTTGAGTCACGTCCAGCAAATTCCATGCCCAATACACAATCCTGAGTCGGTAAATCACCTGGCAGGGCATCGGCCGCCAATCTTCCTGTGCTCAACATAACGTCACGGAAATTGATTGGTGCATAGTAAACGGAGCACAATTCATTTTTTTTATCTAACGGATCGATCATTTGCTGTGTCAATGGGCTTTCAATCCATGATAAGCTTGATAAATCTCCCTTGGTCAAAGCATTCACGTAAGCATGCTTGACGGGGATATTCGAAACTTCATCCAATTTCAAATGTCTGAATGTTCCCCAACCGCCATTTTTATACACATTGATGATCAAATCTTTGCTCAATTGATTGGCATACATTTTACTGGTGAATGAAAACTGCTCAACCTTTGCATCTTGTACGAATATCAAACGAGCAAATTTTCCACCGTTTTCATATTTGAGGCAGTTCATAAAACCAACGGCGCCCAATAGTTCTTCACCGTGTCCAACAATGTACACATAAGTGTTATCTCTTTCAGCATTCGCCAAAGCTGTTTGCAATTGTCCAAGGTATGAGTAATTCTTTTCGGTGATCTTGACGACGGTCTTGTTTCGAGAGGCAAAATCGACGATTGGCCGCAATAAAATAAAGTATTTGTTGTTAGCACGTTGAACCGAGATAATTGCTAAATTTAAACTGTTGAATAATTTGTTTGCAGTGGCCTCGTCATAACCGACAACATTTTCTTCGAGCAAAATGAAACCACCTTCACGGATTGATGATTTAAGATTATCAATAACAGTTTTAGCGTTAGAACGTGGAACAACATCGTAAGCAATGACTAGATGACAGTTTGATTCAACTGGACCAGTGCTTGGATCTTCGGAAACAACACGAATACCCGATTTTCCAACAGCTGTTGATCGGTTTGTCACAAAAACAACATCGTTAACTAACCTGGGTTCGCTTTCAATGATGCTTTGAATGGTCCGAGCAAGTCCATTTTCGGCAATTTTATTTTCAATTACATCAGCCCATTTAATTTTCAATGCACCGCCACTGTTTTCAACAACTAAATGAGTTGCAACCGAAATGGCATGTAAACGTGCCCGTTCATCATTATTTGCCAAATCTTGATTTGTGTTGTCGAGTGGAATATATCGATAATGTTCCAAAATTGGTGATTGTGTGCCTGGACGTCGAGGTGCCAATGAAGCCTTCAATCCGCGCAATTCAACGCCACCCGATTTAACGACATTGAGATCTTTGTACATGTAAACTGGAACATCAACTTTGTTTTGTTTGAAATGTTCGACCATTTCCAAGTGTATGCTTGGATTAAAAACAGCACGTTCTATACGTGTTGGCAAGTAAATTTCACGGTCATTTTTGCCCATAATACAAAATTGCAACATAGTATCGATGAAAGTGACCCAATTGTTTTGCCATTGCAATTTACCAGCAATGAATTTCGAATCGGACTCGCTAATACCGCGGAATTTACCACTATAGTCGTAACCACGAAGACGCAACTCCTTGTAGACATCGTTTAGTTTCAATTTCAGACCCGATTTGTCTTGTTCAAGTGGCTCCAATGGCAATTCCTCGAATTCATCTTCGGGTACACAGATTTTACCAGATACAGCCAATGAACCCCCTTCACAGATTTCAAAGCGATTGGTTCCATCGAAGAATTTGATGGCGAGTTTGATGGAGCCGTCCTTTGGCAAAATGGTAGCACGATGGAAAACAACATCTTCGAAAACAACTGATGTCTGTTCGAACATGCTGTTCTTTATTTTGGGGAATGTACGCCATGCCAAAGTCATATAACCAGTAGCTGGGAACAAAATACGACCATCTATTGCGTGACCAGCCAAATATGTGTCTTCGTCTTTGGTAAGGTTTACCTCAACAATCGTTTCACCGAGAGTTGCTGAAAGAAAACATAGTGTCTTAATTTTTTGCAGATTCAATTTAAGTATTATTATCTTTTTATTTTGATAACTTACAATCCGTTCCGAATTTTGGAACCATAAAACGTTGTGAGTGATCCCATCCAATTTTTGAGTTCAACATAGGTGTTCCACGACCAACTGGATATGAAAGAGGCGCATACAATTTCGAGACCTGTGGTTGAGCACCAGTGGTATATAATCTGAAGCAAACCAAAGATTAAAAATTTCCATTCGAATTTCCTCTCTCTCAAATTCTTGTGGGTAATAACTTACTTTCCAATATTTTGCAAGAAGAAAGCAAGATTATTTTCATGTCCACGTTTGATCAAGCTCAATTTCACGGCTTTGCTGTCCAATGATCTCTTCAAAATTGCTTGCAATAAACCAGTTGGGGCTATTTCGATGCAAATAGCATTTTTTGGAATATGTTGAACGCCTTCGTGGAACAAGACTGGTGACAACATATTGTTTACGTGGTACGTCGATGAGCTTTGTTGAGCAATTGGTGTATTCCACTTGTCCTCTGGGATGCTTGCTGAAAATCATAGGAAAAATGTATTTGTTTCTGTGAACAGTAACAACGCTCCGTCCAAAACGAAACGAATCCGAAACGTACTACTGATCCAACGTGATGTGCGAGTTCTCGGATTTGAAATGATACGTTCTAACGATTTAAGCAATTTTGGTCCAGCATCAGCAATGTATTTGCTGTGGAAGGCATATCCCGATGAGTTGACCTCCTTTGCAAATACACCACTTTTTTTGAGTTCTTCAACAAATTTTATAATTGAATCTGGTGGTCCCGAAATGGTGACACTGTCATTGCTGTTATGACATGCGGCAACGATATCGACTGGAACACGAGCCTAAGAATGGACAACGAAACGAGAAGAAAAATCGAAAACAAATTCAACGTGTACTGAATGTGCTTTTTTGAGTCTTAAAATTGACCTTTGTGCCTTCCCATGTTAAGCCGATAGCAGCCATCATACCCTTATTCAAGTTTGCTTCCAATATGCTACGTCCTCTCCAATATGCAGCCAAAACGGTTTGTTCTAGTGTAAAGCAACCGTCCGCATAAGCACAACCTGAACTCAAATAATTCGGTTAATAAATAGCTATTATTAAGAGTTGTAATTATTTTTACCCAATTCACCGGTCGAATGTCCGATGATTCCATTCGGTGTAATTTCCAAGTGGGTTAAAATATCGGTGAGAGCAACTTGAACGGCAGCGATCGAAACGACTGAATTCAAAATGTCATCGAATGCCGATTCATCACTTTTCATGAGAACTTTAAACAAATCAAAGCCCTCTGGACGCAAAGCATCAGCACAGCGATTAATGCTACTGCGGAACACTTCCAAATGCATCAAATCTTTAGCCATGCTAGCCCATTGTGATCCAATACCAGAGTAAATATACCAGACCGGGCGTTTGTCATCGACCAATTCGTTGACTTCGCGAACGGTTGTCACGTCACCACCGACTACAGCATAACCACGTGAGTAATGCAATGGAATGTTCTTTGAGTGGATTTTATTGACCAATCCTATGAATTCATCGTCAGTTTTGTTTTTGTCAATTTCATTCAAAAGCAAGTCGACAGCATTGCTGGTTCGACCGGAAAGTATAGCCAGCCGTGGAATAGTGTCGCTTGGATTTGTTGATTTTCGTTTTTGATTGGATTTCAAGATGACATGGGCATTTGCGCCGCCGAAACCGAATGAATTCAAACCAATGATACCACCGTTCCATGGAGTGTTTCGGTCGACAACTTTAAGGCGGCCATCAATAATACCTTGTAAATTGGGATTTGGTGATTTATAGTGCAAATTCCCCGGAATAATACCGGTTTCCATTGCCAAAAGAGCTTTAGCGATCGAGCAAACACCAGAAACTGGTTCAGCATGTCCCATATTTGATTTTACAGCGCCAATGAGCAATGGTGTTTTACGATTTTTGCAGAAGAAGTCAGTGATTGAATTCACTTCTTGTGTGTCACCGACTTTTGTACCAGTGCCATGGGCTTCAACATACACAACATCATTCGGATGCAATCCAATTTCATTGTAGGTTTCACGCATCAATTTAGTTTGCATGTTACCAATGGGAAATGTGATGCCCTCCTCTTTGAAACCATCTGTATTTGTGCGAACATTCAAAATCGATGCATAAATACGACGAGCTTGGCTTTCCTTTTGCAAAAAGACAACCACACAACCTTCAGACCGTACATAACCATCGCCACTTTCGTCGAATGATTTACATTTTCCGACAGCGCCCAACATGCCCAACCGATTGAACTGCAATGACATAGTGGGTTCAAGAATAAGAGCAGCTCCGGCCACAATAGCCGAATCACAATGGCCTGCTTTCAAATCGGAAAAAGCCTGTGACAATGCATACAATGAACTTGAACAAGCTGTATCAATCGCAAAACTTGGTCCTTTGAAATCAAACGTGAATGATAAACGATTGGCAAACATAGCTCGAGCACAACCAGTTACACCATAACCATTGACACGGTCTGGATTTGCAAGCCAATACCTTTCAGTTTCCGAATTTGATACACCAATATATACACCAGTATCGCTGCCACGCAATTCTTGCGGATTGAAACCGGCATCGATGATTGCTTCGTGTGTTGCTTCGAGCAACATTCTTAATTGTGGGTCCATGCATTCGGCTTGTTTTTGATGTACACCGAAATATTGTTGATCGAAATTTTCCATATCTTCATCCTTCATTTTACCAATTCGTGTTGGTAAATCGTACAAACCATTTGGCCAACGTCGAGGATCATCATTTACCATGTCAACTCCATTGAATAAATTCTCTTTGAATTCTTGGATATTTGAACTCTCTGGTAACCGTCCGGAGAAACCAGAGATCACAATTTCATCGGGTAACTTTTTATAATTATATTGAGGGGTTTCCATGCTCGATGAAGTGTTAATTATGATATTCTTCTTTTAAGTTACAAAAAATCGGAAGGAATTTTTTCCAATATTTTGGGGAGAATATATTGATTTAGTACAGTTACGAATTACATAAGCTTACAACATGAACTGGAATGTGTTCATTTCTGCAGAAGTACTTATATCCTAATTTTGGCCATGAAAATGTGTCATGTCTTTGAAATAAAAATAATCGTGTTACATTAAAATCATTTTTATCGGTCATGTTTATTTTATAAAATGTGATGAATTCATGAAGATGGTGTCACGTTCGAAGTGATTTGAATAAAACATTTCATGACTCTTACATGCAATATGTATATTCGATTATTCTGGGTCATAAAACAAACACATCAGGTATTAATCGAAATATTCCGAATGGACAACAAACGAAAACGAACAATTTATTTTGATGTTTTCTTTTTTTTACTCCCATTTTTTCATCGGAACCAAAACAATGCTTAAAATTTGTTTCAAAGTATTTCAAGAAAAATACGGAAAGTTATCTCCCTTTTCAATGAAACAAATACGAAGAGCACGATTAAAATTATTCAAGAAAAATTAATTCGTTTATTTTTGATAATGTGTAAAAGTTGGTGAAAATGAAGTGGTTGTTATTGAATCATCCTCCTATTTCAAAAATTTCGGTAAATTATTGCAAACCACGTCGAATCGAGTAATTGCTAACTTTTTGATGCAGAACGCCATTTACTCCGCAACGGATATGCTAACAGATGAAATACGTAATCTAAAAGATGCTTTTCGAGTTGCAACTGGTTCGACTGTGATTCGAGAACAAAGATGGTTTGAATGTTTTAAATTCGCACACAAAAGGTTTGAACTTAATATTATTATTCAACGTTATATATTCATCAAGATGATAATAAAACGTTTTAAAATAGATTTTTAACGGCTGTTGGTGCAATGTATGTGCGTAAATATTTTCATCAAGATTCAAAAGCTGCCGCTTTGGAGTTGGTAAATGGAATTCTGAATGAAACAAAACTTAGTTTGAACGGATCGAATTGGATGGACGAAGAAGAACAAAAACAGTTGCTAAAAAAACTTGATTCCCTTTCTCTCGATATTGGTTATGCAGATGAACTATTGGACGATTCAAAAATTGAAAAATACTACCAACAACTGCAAATTGACGAAAATAATTATCTCTTGTCGATAATGAATGTATTTAAATGGAAAAATGATGTTTTGGGGCCCAAAGCGAGCAAGTGTTCAAATTTGGGCTGTTAATATTTATCCAACGATTATGCAGGGTACCTACAATGAAGACGCAAATAGACTAGGTTATTGAATCTTTTATAAAATAGATGATAACACTATCTTAAGAAGATTTTTCTGTTTTTAGGCTTTTCGGCCAGCATATGAAAGAGTTTGCTGAAGATTTTCAGTGCTTTAAAGAATCTTCCATGAATCCACGGCAAAAATGCGAAATATTATAAACTAGGGGGAAGACATGGTTTTTATCCATTTCTCCTAATTTGCGTTTAACATTATCTAATATCTTGTATGTCTTTTTTCTAATAAACGTACGATTACAGTGATGTTTTACTAATGAATTTGTGTCTTGAATTGATAGAATATAGATTGGTATAAAAGGATCATTGGACATTCAAATCAATGAAAAAATCAAATATTTCGATTGGCAAAAAGTCACGTTTGCATTATTTCATTTACTATAGTCAGAAAGTAGCGTGCCTTCAATCTTGCTACAACCTTTGGTTCAACAAACGAAATAATCGAAAGTTCTTTCCAAAAGTCAATTTCAATAAGATCTTTCACAACAGTTGGGTGTTTGATAGGTTTTGATTTTGTGATATTCATCATTATATAAGTTCAGAAATGAAAATGTAACAACTCTAGGATTGTTCAACATTGAAAGCGAATCCATTTGTTGCAATCAATATGTCACGAAATGTATTGAGAGTAGGCCGCTTAATATTGCTGGAAAAAAGGCTCCTGGAACTTATAAATCAATGGTAACAGTTTTAGATATCTGCTATTCACCAGAAATGTAAATTTAAATTCAGAAATTTTGGTCAAAAATAAAACAATATACTTTTCATGCAAGTATTCAAATAGTTTTTGATTCTTTTTTTCCTTCAAATTTATTCCACAACAATAAAGCGTCATTAGTGATTTTCGTGTCTCAATTATTTCAATATTTGTTTGTTTAGATGTTGTTATGTCAAAAATTAAAAAAAAAAAAAACAATTATAATTTATATTACATATGATTTACAATTTTTTTATCAAATCCAATCCCTGTTCAAATGCACATATTTTGTGGTCCAGCAGAAGATACCACACGAGATGTTTTAAACTAAACAACCTTGGAAGCAATTTGAATTTTATTTCTCACTTGAAATTTCCCGCACACATTATTTTTACACATTGGAACAGTTTTTGTTTTCTTCTCTCAATTCTTGTTTTCATAATAATATCAAACTCATATTAAATCAAATGATGAATATTGAATGTTGTTTTCGTCTAAATTCTTCCCACATATGGTTTATGTCATCGTGAAAACATTCTTATGGATATAATAATTATTTAAAATATAGAATTGTATGGTATAAAATTGTAACTTTTAAGTCTATTAAATTGATTTTCTTTCCCCTATTTAAATTGTTGCGTGAAACTCTCTCTAGGTGAACCTTATCGAAAAATGTAACTCGCATTCCATCAACGGTATTCGAATAGGCTTCTGAGCACATTCGATTGTCATTTGAGTGTTTACCATTTTTTCTTGTGTTCATCCATTGACACACCGCCTGGACCAAGTGAAACAATCATCAGAAGACCACCGATCACAGACAGAGTCTGAAATTTCGAAGAAAACAAAATTTAATTAATCGATCATGTGATGAAAATGAGCTATTTACACCATAGCAATGTTTATCACGATTTCGAATTGAAAATTGAATTGTCATTAAAAATAAATCACATTGACGTCGATACTAACCTGGAAAAAGTCATATTTCAAAAAGTCACGCAGTGGCTTATGTGATGGGATTGACCACCATGCATTGTAATACAAATTCAACATTGTTAATAAAAGTACCAATGCCAAGGCTGACAATTTTGTTTTGTAACCAATTGTAACCATCACCATGAGGATTGAGCCGAAAATATCTTGAATAACTTGGAGCACCGATAATTCAAAGCGAAGCAACGTAACGAACATGAATGCCAATAAAACGCGTCCAGCCAATTGCAAAAAGTTTTTCGGCTTGTTTTCACCAAGCGATGGAACTCCAGCAAATAAGCTACGACCTTCAACACGTGATTCGGCTAAAACCAGCAATAATGCGCCAATCAATGCGAAATTTCGCAACAGGAAATGGAAGTCCCACAAGATGGAGTATGCAATTGTCTGCAATTATATTTTTTAAATTAATATATTCAATTTTGAATTGAAGCAATTATATTTACTCACCTGAAGAACAACGATGAAGAATAGCATACCACAAGCTATGTCAACTTTGAATCGTGTAATAACCAAAGCACAGCCGCCCAGCTGTCCAAACAAATTCACCAATACGAACACTGTTGCTAAGAACTGAAAAACGAACATTCATTAGAATATTTAGATCTTGTGATTTTGGTGAATATATGCAAATTATTACCCATCCACATCCCCAACTCATATCCATATATTCTCTTTGTTCGTTCCATTGGAACCACATACGCAAACCATCCTCAAAGAATGTAGCTATCAAACAAAATCTTGCTATCGTCGGTAGAACGTGTTTTCCTTTTCTGATTACCTAGAAATGTGAAAAGCATAAATTTGCCACTTTTAGTTCCGCATACGATTTCATCAAATATTTCATATCGAAAAAGTGAAAGTTTATTATGTCGTGCATAAATCTTTTTCAATGGGTTAAACTACAACAACAAATATCACGAGTAAATTTATTGCGGGCCTTTTACTCAAAAAACAGATTTTAACATCACAAAATTAACGATATATTTCTTTAAAATGTTCATAAAGACGTGAGATAAAGACTTTGAATGAAAAAAAAAACAGAGTTTTCATATTTATCAATTTTCAGTTATTACTGTTAATTAATAGCCGTCTAACTGGAGCAGAAACGAACATATTGCGTTCAAAAATGATTTTTGCACAAAAGCACTAGATTTATACTTTTGTTTTGGCATAAGAACCAAAGAAAAAATCACAAAAAGATATTAAAAATCGATGAATACCAATCAAATCATATATTGGATCAAATAGATTATATAGATGACGTTGACAGTGTCGAAAGAGTTGAGCACACTTTTAAACATTTCTATGTTTGCCTGCATATTAATTTCATTCAAAAATTAATTAATCAACGTGTAACCAGCACATTTTTCTGCCCTTTAACCTTTGGACACTCTTCCTTTGTTGTATCGAAAAACTTACAATTTTCGTTCAACATTTTCAACATAATTATGTAAAGAAAATCGTATTTTTGGAACATACCTGATCGGCAACGTCTTCTGTTTTTGTAATGTATTCATTTGGAATATTCATTTTGCCACCGATTTGATTTAATTACAGAATAAACGAACGCAATAAATTCTCGATTGAGCAATGAAACAAAAAAAAATAATGCCTAATTCTAGCTAAATTGTTTAAAAAAATACTATATTTCGTCAATAAATGTTCATCTATGTTTAAAGTCAAATCAAATGATAAACATGTACACGACGACTTCTTCTAGATGAACGAAACGTTCCAACACGATACACACATACACGTAAATCGAGACAGTATCAGCAACTGAGTACGGCATGTAGCCAAAACCGAAACTCAAGTCAGAGAACAATAAAAATAGCGAAATGATGTGGAACATTGCCACTTTTGATTGAACTTGCTACAATCATTTCTGACAGTTAACGACGAAATTAATCAATACATGTTATGATGATGGCGAATTTATGATTTTTTTATGGAAAAAAGAATACGATTTTTTCAGCTTTTGATTTCAATATTGAGATTTTTTAAATTTATTTTATAATTGATTTAAATGGTGAAAGTGTGTTGGTAATGTAAACTAACCTTAATATTCGCTCCGCAACAGATGTCAAATTCAATGAAATACTTTTGGCATGTGTCATTCTGACATCGTTCAAAACATTTCACCGATTTTGTTTGCATCGTTTTCGAAGTTACGGAACAATAATAATCAAAGCGCATTAAAATGATTGAGATTACATGCAATGATCGTTTGGGAAAGAAAGTCAGAGTAAAATGTAATCCGGACGATACGATTGGTGATTTGAAGAAGTTGATTGCCGCCCAAATTGGTACCCACTACGACAAAATCATCCTGAAAAAATGGTATCGAATTTTCAACGATAACGTCACATTGGCTGATTGTAAGTATATAAAAAAACAAGTTTCAAATACAAAAATTTTAACGAATTCCAAAAGATTTCCCGAAAATACTCTTTTTTGAACGAATTTCTATGAAAAAATCCCAAAATGTTCGAGAAAAAAGTTCATTCCGGCATTCGTTTTTGAACGAAACACAAACGTTTAATTATTTCCGAATCTTTCTCATTTCAGATGAAATCCATGACGGCATGAATCTGGAACTGTACTACCAATAAGCATTTCAAAAAATACAAATAAAAAAACACAACAGCAAATATGTCATTTTTGGATTAAAAGTCGAAATAAGTGTAAAATAAAAACTTTCATAACAAAACAGCATGCGTTTTATTGCCAACAACCCTCCAGTCACTTGTTATTATTTTTTCGTTTATGTACAATATCAAATTGCTTTTGCATAATGGGATGGTTCAATTGTTCATCGTCTAATTCATAATTTTGTGATTTATCCTTAGTCAGTATTTCCGGATGTTCGATCCAAAACTTGTCTTGTATCAAATCCGTAAAGAATGGAACGATTAACTGAGTTTGATACCCGTTTAATTTCGGAACTTCAACATTTTTCCGCAGCAAAATCGTTCCCTTTCGATACATCTGAGGTAGATTATTGTAATTGATGCCGAAGCGTGAAAAAAGAATTTCATTCTTGTCCGATGAATACGTGCCGGAAAGATCCTTTTGAGCCTCCGTATTCGTTCGACCTCCTTCGAGTACCAATTTCCAGAAAACTGTGTTATAAAGATTATTTATATGTGTATCGGCTTGTCGCCAACTCAGATAATCACGTAAATTCTCGTCGCTTGGATAGAGAACGATTCGTGCATCAAAACTTGGCGGATACAGCAATTGTTTCTCTTCGAAGAATTTCCCCCAATGAAATACATAAGATGATGTGAATAAACTATTGACACACGTCACAATTTTGCTCGCTCTTCGACTATACACATCGGCGGTTTTATGAAATATGAATGAATACTCGTCACTTTGACCGAATGCCAACACAATCTCATTGAACTCCTTCAAAACCTGAACGGCAGCATAACTCATTAAATTCAAACCTGGGGATTATATTGGAATTTATATTATTTATTTCAAATATCAAATCTTCCATTGCGTACTCACCGTTGTCATCGTTGGGTTTGTTAAAATCATGCTTTTGCGTAAACTTGTGAAATGCTTTACCGTCAATGCGAACCACAATCCAACAATTCGGCAATATCGAATCATTTTGCTCAAAATTTCGAACGTAATCAAATCTACTATTGGCCATTGGTCGACTTTTACATATAAATCGCTTGGTGAAATTGGGTATAGAACTCAAGAGAGAGTTTTTACCACACAAATGACTGAACATTGTTTATAATATTTTGAGGTTATGTATCTATTTAGCAGTCAAAACCATATTTTATCCCTATTGAAAAAAACTTTGGGCCATGGAACCAATGGATATACAACTTAAATTAAAGGACCTATTTTTAATACGCAAATATTGGGCTACGTAAAGAAAGCAACATCAATGTCGAAAGACAATTATGAAATGTTTCAATAAAATAAAGTCATTGTTTTAAATCTATCAATTTTTTCAAACCGGCGAATTCCAATTGGATATGCGAAAAAGGACACTTGTTGATCATCTTTGGTTTTTTTTTTTTTTTGAAATAAAAAGTTGTTCACAGTTGAAAATCGTTCACATACAGAATTTTTGATCTAAACATAAGATCAATATATCTTGAACGCACTCTTTCTCTGTTTGACAGTGAACAATAGTTTGCCGGCATTTGAAATTGCGCATCAAAGTATACATCGAGCAACGCTGAGTTTGCACTTTAAACAACGTGCATTCATTCTCTCGGACGTAACAAATTCAATGAATACTCTCATTAATTGATTTTTTCGATTTTATACACATTCTTGGCTTCTATCCATTACTCAATCTGGTTTCATTAGTTGAAATTCAAGGTAATTTAAAAGAAATTGTTTAGTAGATTTTTGAAAATGAGTGATTTTACTGTTATTATTTTTTCCTCTTAGAAAGATTGATTACCATCAATATGGACGAAGTTGTTGAGTCAACACCTCAGCCAATTGGCATTAATGCGTTACAACAAGGGGCATTTTACTATATGCGAATGCCATTTTATACGGAATAGAAAATTTTCCTATTCATACATGAAATATACGAAGCAAAGTATATTCATCCGCATCAACATCTATGAAAATTCGTACATTTCATTCGCAACCATTCGCGAATGCCGCATACGTCTTGCTAGATGCGACAAACTGTCGTGTGACATTTGTACATACACATTGCTGTGTTCAGTTTGTCGTGGAAGTTTCAAACACAATGTCATTGTTCTCAACTAAATTTGAAAAACAGTTGAAGAAAAAATACAAGATTATTTGTTGAATATTATTTTAGAAGCCGTATTCGATTCGAAAAGTGAGATTTTAGAAATAAATTCAGATAATATAAAAGAAATTGAAAGTTACGTCAATGAAAATAAAAACCTTTCACAAGGCACCGTTTACAGTGATAATATTACAAGTGGCAAAGATTTATTTGCCATTTTAGAAAAACTTCACTCAATATTACCAAAAAAATATCAATTCGGCTTGAATCTCTGTCACCTAATCTGTCACTTTGACTTTTTGAATGTAAAAATATGACTTTTCATATGCGCCATCCGCAAAATGTGTATGAAACATTCGACACCGTCCGCAAATTTGTATGAAACATCCGCCACCATTCGCAAAATTTGTAAGAAACATTTGCGACCATTCGTTTACATTTGCAAAATATATAGGAAAAATTCGCTCGCATATGGATCATTCGTTTAAGTCGGAACCCCCTAGCGTTACAACCTTCGAAGCTCGGTTGCCAAACGTAAAAATAAAATGGATCAAAATCAGAACAGTCTGAATAGCGAAAATGATGCAAACGTTGTTAAGAAAATGCGATACAACCTTCGAAGTTCAAGTGACTTGCGTGGAAAAGCCACAAATACCGCTGCAATTGAATTGCCGGAACCAGCAATGGTATCAAAATCGAAGTCAGAATCAGAGCCACCAATCAAAAGTTTGATGTTGCTTGATGATTACTGTCTACTGGAAATCTTCGATCTTTTGAAGTTGAATGATTTGTCGAACATTGCGTATGTTAACAAGCGTTTGAATGCTCTGGCCCGAACTTATGTTCAAAGTAAATACAAAATTCCATTTGCTGCCAATTTTCAATCGACAAGCATTATGGCCCGTATCAATTTGGAAGCGATTCATGCTTTTCTTTGCATCTTTGGCAAAGAAATTACAGCATTGACACTAAATCGAGACTCATTCGACCAGACATTCAACGATTTCACAAGTATGGCCAAAATACTATCGTACATACAAGCATACTGCGCAAATTTAAAAGAGTTTACGCTAAATATCGCGGGAAATATCGCGGGAAATTTCAACCCTTCTCAAATCGATCTCTTTTTTACAAAGTATGCATACGATGTGAAACAATACGGACATTTCCCGGCAATTGGTGTTTCTAACCATCAAGCTATTTATAGCGTCTTTAACACATTCACGACCAAAAAGACAAAAGGAACATTTAAAATACGTAATTTCAAAAATGTCGATTTACAATGTGTAACTGATTTTGCAGAATCTATTGATTGGTCAAGTTTCAATTATAATTGCAACATAGACACAATGATCGATAATATTTATTCGATTATGAACACATTTCTTGATAACTTTTTCCCATATCATGAGATAACTTCGAAACATTTACCAGTTCCATGGATGACTGATGAAATAAAAAATCTTATGAAAAATCGAAAAATATTTTATGATTGGTGGAAATCCAATAGAAAACATCAATCTTGTGACATTATTTATGATTCATATAAAAAATTGAACAATCAAGTTAAATATCTTATCCGCGATTCAAAAAAAGAAATCTTTACAAAAAATTATGAAGAGGCTGATAACGCAAAAGATAAATGGAATAAATGAACTAAAATCTTTATACTGATCGCATATGCTTTTATTTTGCTTGTCATATAAATACTTGAAATCAAACTAAAAATTGAAAGTGGAAACTTGTAAGTCAATTGTTAAGATATAGTTGGATAAAATTGTTTGTGAATATGGCGCCTTTACCTATTGGTTAGAACATTTGTCAACTCTTTTATTCTGAATAGACCATAACTTAAAGTTCGTTTTTTTGTTACGGAATATTAGGAAAAATTGTAATTTTTCAGGATATCACACAATATAAAGGTATAGTGAATGATATATGAGAGTATTCAGACCAAGATCTTTTCGTAAAATTCCGTACAAAGACCAACTTTTTGTGGACGGCGTCGAATTGATAAAAAGAACCGTAATTTAACGAATTCAATAAATTGTTAGTTGTTAATGAAAAACCACCATTGAAGTTAATAAAAAGACACTTTTATTCTTAATTTGCCTTAAACTTATTCGATTTGTTAAACATGCAACACAATTTCGTTCTATAGCTTGTTAAACTTTAGCTTAGAGTGATCATTTGTCATTTTTTCATTGAACAAATAATTTCAATTGAAATAATTAATAGACACACACACTTTGTGCGACAAAAACAGTTAGAAAGCTGAAAAACGCGATAAATATAAATCAACTATATGATTTTGACTCTTATACTTTAAAGAACTGTATTCAGCTCATCAAACTTAAATGCAAGCAAAATAATAGTTTTTTTTTTAAACTGCTTACTTTGTGAAAAGCCATATTGTAAATGCCACAGGGAAAAATCACGCCACATCATTGCGTTTAATTAACTTTCAATGTTTTATTTTCCTTTCTATTCTGTGATTTTTCCCGAGGTACGCTGCAGGATAAGAAGGTAAGTATAAACCCTGTATAATTGTATTTTTTGTTTGTCTGATTAGCAAAACAAATAACAAAAATGTAACTTTTTCCATTAAATTTCATTTGACTTTGTGATTATCCGAATCGAATAATCGAACCAAGCCAATGGCCCAATTTCTGAAAAACAAAAAACACAAATAAAATAAAAATGCAAAAAAAAAGGAGAAAACAAATTATAAAAATTAAAATAAATATATTTCATTTTTATATATTCAAACAAAAAAATGCATAATTTTCTGAGCGTCCGTTTTGTTCACTCCTTTTTTTACGTTCTGTAACTGTATAAACTGTGTTATCTGCTTCGAAATTTGTCTGAGATGAAATGCGAGTTTTAAATGTTCTTTTCTGTTCACATGACAATTATGTACAGATTTTTGTAATAAAAAATACATTTTAACGATGTCTATTTCTACAACATTATACCGTAGTTGCTATTTGAAGTCTTAATTTCGGGTCATATGGATTTGTATGTTATGATTGTTTTAATTCAGCAGTGGTGTGTTGCCATGGAAACAAGAGTGAACTAAAGCGAGTGTCTTTCATTTGTTACGAAATGAGATTTTCGTAACACGGATTGATCATTGTTATAATAATTGCGCCGGTATTTGAAGCTAACGTATTGGTGACGGAAATCTGTGCGTTTCCACTTATAGAAATGCATACAATAATTGATTTCGCTAATTTGTTCTTGCTTATTGTACTTTTAAGTTCGTGTCACATTTTGAATGTGTTTCACGCCTTTGCATTTATTGATTGCATTAACATATACATTTTAAAAATCATTAATTATACCGTTGTATACAAAATGTTGTTGAAACGAAATTTAAAAAATAAAATTTGTTTGTAAACAAATAAAAAATGTGTGACGAAAGTGACGTTAGACAGAGATGCGAACATTTAATGTGTGGAATTATTAGATAGATCTATGATCAGAGTGCGATGAGCTCGACAAAAATGCATTTTTTCTCGTAGATTGAATTTCTTTTTCCACATTTCTTTATTCCTATGAGAACGCAAACAAAAACGAATATATTCTTAAGTATAAAAAAGCTCGATTTTATCTAATTTGTTTGATTTTCTTATTGTATGTTTTGGAAAAACAATTACCCAAATTTCGATTGATTGACATACGTATCTAGGCTCAGCTATGGCCGAGCATTTGATAAGCATTGAATTTATTAAGATACGGAGAACACAATAAATGTGATGTATGCATCTCCAACGAGAATGGCAACTGATTTTTAAAATGTTATGCTTCTTTGAAATGAATTAATTGCCATACATAAATTTAAGGTAAATATACCCAAATAAAAGCTGCTTGATACCGATCTAAGACGATCAAATTGTAAAATTAAAAAAAATGGTCGTAAGGCTACGTGTAGAATGAGATTCTCAAGTTTGGAATCACTGGTTTCAATAAGATATAATAATTGAATTATATTGCAAACATAAAATATGTATAAAGAAAAATTTAATAGCTTTCTTCATTTGATCAAGTTCTGATTTTATGTTTCACTTTTTTTTAAAAAATCTTCAATTTTCTACATTCGTCTTCTATACATTTATATTAGCTTTTCTTTTCATTTTTTTTGGTAATAACAAAAATATTTTTCTACAATATATAAAAAAAAGAATTGCTGGCTCCAGAAAAATAGCTGCATGTGAATTCCACGATATTAAGCTGCATTAGAGGTGGTGTGTTACAAAATTGTGAGCGATTAATAAGTAAACATGAGTTTAAGTGCTTAATACAAAGTTTCTTATCGAATTTTGTCTATAAATTTTCTTATTGATATCCTGGATGAGAGCAATTTTATCGCATCATTACAGTTTTATCAACTTTTGCTTTATATTTTGAAACAGGAACATCTTATTATACTTTTATTGATAGCTGCAACGTTCAAAAACGTTTGAAATTGGTTTCTTTTATCTCGTCTATTTTTTGAAACATAAAATAATGTTTTTTGTCTTGTTTTTAATATGTTCTTAACGGTCTTGTGAATGTTTGTTGCGTTTTGATAATGAAAAGCGTTTTTTTTTTGTTTAGTTTAGACATATGTTGCAATCGCACCGCTATTTGGTCCGATGTTTCCATTACCATTTGGCAATTGTGGTTTTGATGATACGGTTTGTAGCTGATGAGAAGAGTGTGGTGTTGGTGGACTTACTGGTGGATTTAACTTTCCCGGAACATATTGACCTAAAAAGGGAAACAATGCATATTAAGGATATTGACTTAATAGGTTCTTATAGCTTCAGAAGTTGGTAATCCAAAAGGGAAGGGCGAACTTAATTTTAAGCGATAAGTAAAAAACAAAAAAAGGTCTTCAAAAAAATGGACTCTTCTCGAAGAAATATATTTCTAAATGTATTCTCCAAGAAAGACCTAACCCGTTGGAGACACAGCTCTGTCAGAAGCTATGGTAAAGGTTTAGTAAAATTCTTCTAAGTGAATTAATCTTACCTATAAAGGAGCCATCCTCTGCAAACTGGCCCACTTTAAGAAACAAAACAACAAATACGTATTAAATTGAGTATTTTTGAGTAGGTTTCGAGTTGAAATTAATCAATTTTGTTTATCAATATGATGTTTGCAATTGTAGATTGGATAACTGCACAAACCAAGCATTTTCAGGAGATATTTACAATATGCTTTTATAGTGTCTATAATTTGCATGGCTTTGTATGTGTGTATATCTGTGCAGCAATACTAATGCATTGAATGGAATGTGATGAATTGAAAATCGCAACAAATATTTGAAACAAATTAAATTATTAAATTGAAATTTGAAAACAATAAAATGATAATTACCTTAATTTACAATTTTCTTCAAAATCGGTTGTGCAATATATGGGGATTTCATTTGGTTTTGAAAAATGATAAAAGAGCAACCAAATAGATGTTTTACAAATAAAAAAAGATTATCGATTTATCTCTTTATCAAAATTCAAATGTTCGTCATATTCTTATTCGTCATTTTTTGTTTTGTTTACTATTGTATAAAAAAACTAAATATCGTCTACACAAGCGTTGCAAAACCCTGTGAATTTGATTCTTGACCTCGATCTCGATTGCGCCCGTATGCGTTTATAAAGGACCCATCTTCGTTTATACCTTTTATTCGAATTTTACAAAATGAAACATAAAATTTGAGATAAAAAATGGAATAGCTAAGGTGTAATAGCTGTAAATTATTATCAAGCTTTTTTTTGGCTTTTTGATGATGGTGATGATTTGATGTGTTTCAAATTACAATTTAAGAAATCGACTACAATAAAAAAAACACTTTTTTACCTGTGTCACCTTCACCATATGCTGCCATTGAATCACCATCGTCAACTTCATCTTCTGGTTTCATGAGATTTGATGCGATCGATTGACGACCAGCACTTTTATTGTCCAATCTTTGCAGAAAAAGAAGAAAACAATTCATTTTTTAGATTACAACATTTTTAATTTAAGCAAGTGCACTCTGTTAGTTTATGCTTGGCATTTTGGTTTGATTAGGTTTTGTTTATTGTATTAGTAGCCTTAAGATTCCTTTTTTAAATGGCAAAAACGAAGGTAGTTAATAGAAATACAATGCAATTTTGGGTTATTTAAGGTGGCGACACACATTATTTCTTTTTTTTTTTATCTCCTACATACTTTGAACTCTTTTCTGGAATATTTAAATGATGTGGTTTTGCTTGTTCAACAATGTTACTTGTATCGGTTGTTTGTCGTCTTCGATCGTGTCAAAAAGTTGTTTGAAAAATCAGTTTACACTTTCATATCAAGTTCTATCGAATGTATTTAATGCATGTTACTTACGGCTGTGAATATTCATGGAAACCACCTTCTTCTGGATAGTCTCGTCGACCATTGGCGAGTTCTCGATCATATACATCATATTTACCGCCACGATTCCGTTTGATTATGCAGACAATGATGAGCAGCAACAACAACAATGCAATCGCCAACAACATTCCTATCAATACAAATGCATATTGTAGTTATCGAACTTAAAAAAATGTGTCAAAAAATCTGTACCAATTAACCACCCGGCTGCGGCCATATTTTCACTTGGAACCTTATTTGGACCATCTGTGCACCAAAAAAAACAAACATTTTACGATTTTTATTTGATTCCGTTTTCGTTGAAGTAAACCTACCTTCGCCGACGGTTTGAACTTCTTGAATTGCACTTTCTGTGAAATGGTCGCCATCGACTGATGTCACAATGAATTCATATCTTCGATCTGGTTCTAGACCAGGAATAACAACGAAGTCATTGTCGATAATGTCTTTAGTTGTTTCCCATTGTGTTTCGCCCTTAATGCGATACTTTGCATAGAAATGAGTGCCTGGTTATTGAAAATGAAATATGTTAATTTCAAATGAATCGATATTAAAAATGAAAATAACATTTGAATTAACATCAACATACCTGGCCGTCCGTTAACGTTTGGAAGCCAATGTACTTTAACTTTTGGATAAGGATTCTCTGATGGCAATTGTTCCCATATGAATTCTGGACGATCTGGTGGGTATGAACCTCCTGGCAGTGTTTTTTGTTCGATAAAATAGCTAAAAATAGAAATTTATGAAATCAATATTTTTCGAAAAAAAAAAAAAAAAAATGAAAAATGTCTAAAAGAAATTTACTCTTCTCCTTCGCCAGCTTTCGTTGTTCCAACAATATGTATACGATACTTCGTATTTTCCTTAAGTCCGGCCAATTTGGCTTGTGTACTACGGGGATCGTCAATATGTGGTTCACGTTCCAATTTCGATTGGACGGCTGTTCCCAATACTTCTTCATAGTAAACTTTGTATCCGGTTAATTTTCCATTTGGTTGCAATGGTTTCTTCCATCGCAATAAAAATGCAGATGAACCAAGTGGAAATGCTTCGAACGATTGAACGCTGCTTGGAACACCTTCGGGTGTCTTAAAATCAATGACGGCACTGGGCGGTCCATTGTAACGGCTATTGAATGCCAAAACTCGAGCATAATTTATAGCATCGGGAAGGAATTTTGTAACTAACGCTTGCGTTGAATCTCCTTTCACATGAATTTCTCGTGTATTTTCTTCACCATCAACATCGGTCCAAGTTTGCACTTTGTATCCCTTGAAATGACCATTAATACTTTCAATTGGAACTGGATTCCAACTGAGAATTGCCGATGTACTTGCCGTCACTTGAACCAGAGTAAAGTTTGTTGGTGCCTGTGTTGGATGATCTTCACCGGAGTAGCCGAATGTCTCAATAGGTGCCGTATTCGATTCACCCTTTTTATTGACGGCCAACACTTTGATGCGATACCGTACAAATGTCGGTTGATCCAATATAACATAATTATCTTTTCGCCAATCATAAATGTCATCGTGATTCCAATTATTATCGGTTGGAATATCTCTCTTCCATGAAAGTCGATAGTGAAAATCGGGACCATTATGCTCAATTTGTGGCATATGTGTCCATGAAATGACTAAATTTGTTGGTGTCGTACCTTCACCCTTGACATCGTCGGGGTTTTTGAAAGGCACATCTAATTGAGTTGTACACGATTCGCTGTGACCGCTTGGCTGTGATGGTCCAATTTTATTGAAAGCAATGACACGGAATGTATAATTCGCCCATGGGCTCATCGGAACATTGTATGTAAAATCGGTGGATGGAACTTTATCGTAGGCAACGGTCCAAATATCAGGTGTAAATGATGTATTATATTGAATTGTATAATAAAGAATTGGAGCTCGATTGTCACCCAATGGTTTCCATGAAATGAATGCTTCGCGTGCATGACAACTGATACCAGTTAATTGCGGTGCATTCGGAACATCTTGAACGATTAATGTTGCTGATGCACGTGCCTCATCAAGATCAGTGGATGCAACACATGTGTATTGGCCGGAATCAAGTTCGGACGTTTTTGAAATAGTCAATGAATTATCGTTGGTCCGAACGAAACGTGGCTCATTTTCAAAGTCAATTTCTTCGTCATCGCTAAGCCATTTAATATTCAAATCTAACGATGAATCGGCGACTGCATTACAACGGAATGTTGCCGGATTACCGGCGGTCACTTCATAATCTTGTGGTTCGTCGGTAATTTTTGTGTGCTCTTTAACAATCAATGTTCCGCTTGCCTTGGTTTCACCCAATTTATTTTGTGCATGGCAAGTGTAATCGCCAGCATCGGCAAAGGTAACGTCTTGAATGACCAAATCACCACTTGATTGAGTTTGATACCGTCCACCAGTCAATTCCAAATCATTGCGAAGCCATTTAACTTCTGGTGCCGGAGCGCCGAATACACGACAACGCAATGTAACTGTTCGACGATCAACGGTCGCTTCTTTTCGTGGTGGTTCAGTAATTTCTGGAGGCAATGCCAACACATTCAAATACACATCTTTGTAAACATAGCCCAATGAATTGGTTGCGTTACAACCGTAATTGCCGGTATCGCTCGATTTCAAGCCAGTGATGGTGATTTTATTGCTTTGAACACTTCGTCGATCGTTTCTTGCTGATTCTTGAATTGGTTTTCCGTTATAAATCCATTTGATTTCCGGTTCTGGTACACCCGATGCTTCGCAATGGAATTCAACACTCTCATCTTCGGCAGCATTTTGAATTTCAGGTTCGATCGTAAAGTACGGTACCGCATTCACTTTTAAGTTAATTGAATAACTTTGTGCATTACCAACACCGTTCGATGCTTCACACGTGTATGATCCAGCATCTTCAAATGTTGCATGACGTATAATCAATGATTTTCCATAATTTCCTTGCGTTATTCGATCATTCCAATGTATCGCCTGTCCATCTTTACTCCATATGGTCTGCGGCAGCGGCGTACCACCGTAAATACAATAGAGTTCAACCTTTTTACCACGCAGTGCCACTTCATTCTTACGCGATACATATTGCTGGGTTGGCTGATGTTTATTTTGTGTTGGTGATATACCGGTTTGAACAACATCCAAAAGTATACGATTTCCCAATTTGTATTCATTACGGAATACTGAGGTAGCTGCACAAGCATAGTAAAAATCGTCAGATGCATCGTATCGTGTAACATTTGAAAAATGTAAATTTCCTTCGGGATCCAATGTCATTCGTGAATTATTTATACTTTTAATACCGCCGTCGGTATTTTGGATCAACCAATATACGTTCGGTTTGGGCCAACCGTCTGGCGGTTGACATTGCAATTTGAATGGATCACCTTCGTTGGCAGTTACAGTTTTTGGCTGCTCATCTTTGAATGTATTGAGCTCAGCTTTGCGTACAAAGACGGAATTTGATGTGGCAGTACCATGTTCGTTTTCGGCAAAACACTGATATTGACCCAAATCCTCGTCGCGCGGTCGCGTTATGACAATTGTACCACGGCCCGGTTGCTGTGACATACGATCATCATATGTCTGCCAATTGAATTGTTTGCCATTCTTTATCCATCGATATCTGATTAAGAGAGAAAATAGAATTAAACATAATGCAATTTAAATACACCAGAATATATAAGCAAAATGGAGGAAAAAATCTTAATGTTCGTGTTCATAACAGCATGCTATTGCCATAAATTTAATTTTGGTGTCGAGCAAAAAATATGTACTATTATGGTCATATGACAGGTTTTATATGGAACTTCAAAGTTATTTTAATGACTTTTGTATAAGTTTTAATGAAGTAATAAACAGCGTTCTTTATTTCGCTACGCCTTGAACATCAATTTAAACGAAAGAAAAAAAAAATGCTAACAATAAAGCAATTATTATTGCTCGATTTTGTCTATGCAATCAAAGTTCAAAGCGCTGCATTTCTTAGAAATTCAAATAAATCTATCAACATTCTAATATTCATATGAATGCTGACGACGCACAACAAAAATCCATTAACTGTGCTAGTATTTGTTTTACCAGCAATAACATTGGTGAACGGAAATTTATTGAAAGCATGAGAGAATTTTCTCTATGTCTCGTTCACGGTCTGTCTGTTTGATTGCACCCTAAGATTAAAATCCTATAATAAAATAGGGGGGTGTACGATATGTAATGTTCATTGTAATATTCATTGCTCTTGTATAGTTTGCTGTAAACTGCAGTTTTATTTGAAAATTACAATTTTGTATTACGATTCGATTTTTGAGCACGCATGTTATTTGTTTGTGTCAGAGAATGTTCATATCCTTTTTGTTGTCATTGTATCAACTAATAAAACAATATTAATTTTTGGTTTTTGTTGAAACAGTTTCAGGGGAATAATCCGCAAGAGAAACTATTAGTAAATGCCACGCACGTGAAGGTACACATATTGCATGTTCATTTAGTTGCTTCTATTGATTTTATAATCGTCAAAAAGAAGTAAACTGCTGCAAATCGAAATAAATCTCATTGAAAGTGTGTGGAAAGATTTCAATGCAATTATTTCAACCTCATATCACAGGCGAAAGAGAAACATGGCACATCCATGAACAATGACTACACACTCGTCAAGTTAGAATGTAGTTCAAGGCAGATGTTCAGTCTCTATTGTTCGACTGGTACTAAAACACTGCATAGATTTTCTACATGGATGAATTATGGATTTTTTCTGTGTATATTTTTTTTCCAAACAGTTGAATGAATTCTTGCGTTTCTTTCACGTTGGGTAGGAGTTTATTTTGAAAAAAAAAAAGAAAAATGTTTACTCACTTTGGTGCTGGTTCTCCTTCGGCTTCACATTCAATCAAAAATGGTTTGTCGTTTTCGTTCGATTGTTGAGCTACTTGGTACAGCAACTCGTCGGTTGGTGGCTGTTTAATTATTCTGGGTGGCGAATGAACTAGGATAAATAAGAGACAAATAAATTACGTAAAATGTTAGAAAACTTCCTTCCCGTTAGTCGAAAAATAATGAAGATTTGTTAAACGTTAATGCAACGAAAAGACAAAAGTCACAAATTATGAAGGTCTTAATTGAATTTTTGATGTGGGCAGTTCAAGTCAACCAACTCAAAACGCAATCATTTTTACTAGCATAGGAAGTCTGTGTATGCATTCATTTCATGCCGTTAAATTTCATTTAAGTGAACAAACCAAAGAGAAACACTTTCTTATAAATTCATTTAGCTTACCCAATGCATGTACTTGAAGTACAGCAAATAAAACCACTAATAATGTTTGTAAATTTTTACGCCACATTTTTTATGTGTACATGTAATCTTCAATGAAGAACTGTTTTTGATCACTTTCACTAACTGTTTTACTTTTTACAACTTTTCTTCACGTTTATATTTTTTTGTGTACGATGTCGCTCAGATTTCCTTCACATTGGATCACACTCTAATCTCTGTAACATAAAAAGAAAATTATGGTTAGAACAATAAAAAACAGGAATCGACAGATTAACGGAGAAGTTTTACATTATTGTTTTTTCTCATCTCCCAACGAACAAATATGTAACGTTTTTAGGACATTTTAACGTTAAAAAATGTAACGCTTTAACCCATTTTTGTGGCAATTTTCGTGTCAAATGGAAGGTAGAATATAGGCATAATGTGAACCACTTTTTCGGCTTTTTCGTGTTGCGATACACAACAACATCTTCTGTGTGTTTCGATTGTTTCTCTTTTTGTTATTATATTCTAAGAAACTGTAGCGGCAATACAATGTAAACAAATGTAAATAACATAAACTCGTTGAGTTCATAATATCCTATTCATACGATTGATTTTAAGCAAATGAAATTTGAAAAACAAACCGGAAAAAAAAGAGGATGAAAATACAAATCTTACTCTCTTCTCTCTGTGTGTGTTTCGATTGTGCATGAATAAAAAAAAACATTGCGTAGGAATTTCAAGTGACTGTGAAATACATTTATAAATGTACCTTTTTTTAGATTTGTTTGATTTGATTTTAGTTTCAGAAACATTTTTTTATTTTTTTTATTTTTTTTATTTCATAATTCAAATTCGAATTTCGAATTCGAAACATGTTTGAATGTGTACGACATTTGACAGTTGGTAGCTGTGTGTATTGGTGTGTATCATATCGAAGCCGATTTTTCTGATTACATTCAAAATGTGCTTCGTAAACATTGCATCGTATCAATTAATTTCTTTGAACTAAATAGGGATTTTTTCGCATCAAAATATTTTGAAGTTATTGTTAAGAATAAGGTAAGTAATTATGGTTAAGTTGCCATTGTGTTGAAAAAAAAAAAACAAAATTCAGTGATTAATAAATGGAATTCTTGTACATGAGATTCATTTTTTGTTTATCGTCATTTTAGCAACGGTTTGGTGTGTTTGGAACGTAACTGTAGAAGTCACTCGATGTCAAATGGAAAGATTCACAGTCCGTTTTGTGACAGTCTTTGTTTTCATTTCAAAATAAAAAAAAAACATTTTCATCGTTTTAATCAGGACACAGCGTTATATAGTATAAGAAGTTATTCATTTGAATTGTGATATGAGTGTGTTCTCATTTTTTGTTTGTAACAAATTGTGCTTTGCTTGTAAAAGGAATTCTTGAGAATTATGTGTGAGTGTTTATATTAGAGTATGAAACAATTTGTTTGTCGTCATTTTTGGCTAACATTTGTTCCAATGATTTTGTTTGTTCGATGTTAAACGGATAAATTCACTGTTGGTTTTGAGATTGTCTCTGTTGTTATTTCAAAATAAGAAAGCATTCATAAAATTGACGGTGAATATTCCAACAAAATTTTCATCTGCGGAATATTGGAAAACATTTCATCATTTGAATCAGAATACAGAGTGACATCGTTGAGGTAAGAAGTGATTAATTTGAATTGTGATATAAGTGATTGTCATTTAAATTGTGATCTCATTTTATTCGTAATCTATGCTTTTTTTGTTGCATTTTTTTTCTAAATTTGTGTCTATTTTTTATTTTCGAATAATTTGATCAGTTTTTTGAGAATGAACAGAAAAAGACATGGATGACGACGAGCTCGATGATAATCAACCAGAAGAAAGCAAATACGTTGTAATAAAATGTGGACTTCAAACAATCCTGCGACAACAACATGAACGGATTGAAAGAGTTGGAGAAGTTGTGACCAAAATGCTATTCGAGCGCAGTGTTCAAATGACAGAAGTGGCAGCATTGGCATCACTTTCTATTCTTTTTATTTTGAATGAAGCACTTGATAATGACGATCGTGCATTTTTTTTGAAACCACATCCAAGCCTGTTCATTGCCGATTGTTTCAGAGCGGTATTAAACCAACACGTTAACAATATCAGAAGTCAATATCGGATATTGCCCGAGTTTCGTTTCATGGTAGAAAGAAACAGTGAAGAACAGTTCCGATGGCCAGATGATGAAAAGTTGGGAAATGGTTTGACATATTTTTATAAACAATATATCACAAACATTAAAACCAATACCAACACATGGTGTGAAAAACGACTTGAGAATTTTTTTCGAATGCGTTGTTGGTATCGCAATCGATTCCACAATGGCTCAAGATTTGATAACATCGACATCAGAAATGCCAAAGAGTTTTCATATCGATTTAAGAATTTAACGAATGGTAATAATGGTAATAATGTGGATCCACAACGCGTTGAAAAATTCAATATTTTAATGAGAGATTTGACTGAAATTGGATGGCCGGGAACAGTGAGTATGAAATTTTTCGCAAAAAATCGTTGGTTTGAATCACTGTGGTTGTTCGGTCAAATGCAACGGCAAATAGAAGTGTATCACAGTCATGCCGAACAATGGCATACCATTCATGAAATGTTTCGTAACAATCCGAACTTTCAAGAGCCAACAATCAATCGACCACCAAAAATAAGCAGTTTTGCTCTTATACCATTATGCGACTACCATTTGAAAAACGTGCGATTGGACATTAAGGACTTGTATTATAAAATTGTAAACGAGCTTGATTTGGTGCCTTCTTTTCTCAATACGCAGACCAACCGGATGAATAAGAGAAATTTAAAGTACTACACCCAAACTGATCGATCAGGTCTATGGAATATGTTGTTCGATGTCGGTAAAATAAATAAATTGGGCAAATCGAAACCATTCCATCATCAGATTTTGACCGATAGTGTTTCAATATCCATAATGTACAAGAAACCACAGCGACAACAACGACCACAGCAAACAACCCAAGCGAATCGGGGGCCGGAAAAACTCATTGGCAAGAAATACATCATTGGAATCGATCCGAATGAAAAATCGTGGTTAACTGTAGTGCGTCGCAACATTCAAAAAACACCTGATGAGCCGGCTGTTGAGGTAAGATATTTTGAAATGTAATTTGAAATGGTTTTGAATAGAAACTCATAGTTTTTTGTATCATTTTGCATTTTGAAGGAAAACATTATAATACCAAACCAGCGTTTTCATTGGGAAACTCAGCAGAAAAAACGAGACAAAGAAGCGAAAAAGTTGGCTGGATGGTTTGATATCGAAGAGAAGGAACATCTCAAAACATACCCATATCGCCCACCATCACCACGTAATTCAACATGGAAATCATACATTGAATATCGCATTAAAATGTTACGAAAAGGAATGGCAGCTTATGCGACGCGTGAATATGCACGACTGGATTTAGACCATCACATTCGCTCGACCGGAGTAAATGATCAAATCGCCGTGCGTGTGACAAACAACAAGCCGTCGTTGATTCAATTTGGTGCTTGGGCGATGAAACCCGATCGACCGTTTGGAATAAAAAAGCGTAAAAGATGTCCGGGATCGCGTAAATTTCGTGTGAGCATTAAGAAACTTGGACATTCAGAAGTTGAAATGCAAGATGAATGGGGAACATCACAAACATGCGCGAATTGTCAGGAACGCTTTCCAAGGCACACAAAAGATGATCGATTTAAAGTGTGCTACGATTGTAGAGCGAAAAAGATTGATGGCCTGCCAGATTCAGTCGCTGGACTGCCAGATATCATTGTGTCAACGGTCAACAGACGTGTTTTGAGAAGAAAACGTGCAATTATTAAGCGACAAATTATCGATGGCAATCGTGAGGCTGTGAACGAAAAGATTCGGACTGGGCGTTTAATGTCAAAGGTTAAAGTTACCTACAAAAATTGGCCATTAAATGTTGATGATGATGATGTTGTTCCACAAACAGTTACTTGGCACCGAGATATTGTTGCAGCAAAATGCATTATGCTCAAAGGTATGAATCAATTGGAAACAGAATATTCATTATTTAATGTATTTGCTTTAAATTACATAGGACTTTGCCGGATCTTTGATGTACCATTGCCAGTTTCATTGTTAAGACCGCCGGACCAAAACAACAATGGCAACTAACAAACATCATCAATTAATCATACATTCAAAAAATTACATAAAATAAAATATTTTAACTATTATAGTTAGCTTAGCTAGACATGAACAGACTATATAAAGTCTTGTGGTCTAGTTGTACAATAGTACAACATTGTACGGAGGGGGAGTGCCCGTAGGTGAGTAAAGTTTTTAATTTAAAAAAAGTATTTTATACCCAGTTCAACTGATACTAATGGTTGTCTTTCCCTTTTTCTATGTGTTTACACCTGAATGTTCCACCATGCCAAACCTATGGAAATGACTGAAACTACACACGAATCTAACCCCGAAAACGACCGTCAATATGTGCTTCATAATGGATGCATTTGCCCTATCAATCGTTTGCTGGGCTAGGATACCGTTTTATGTCTATGAATGAGGTTAACTAATATTTTACATCGGTATTAACGGAGCAAAAATTTATCGGTCATTTTATGTGATTTATTGTGATTGTAAAAATTGTCGCAGCAAACTCGGTGCGGTTGGTAAAAAAAAAGAAATCGCAAAAAAATGCACATTTCAAATCGGCGGAGCTATTAAAGTGGTCATGCTATGGGACACGGGATGAAATTGTATGTCAATGCATTTTAGTGTACACACTTTATACATATATATATCATAAACAATACACATCACACTCACATCATAGCGACAATGGATTTTTATGGATACCAAATTATTAGTTTCACGTATAATTACTAACAAATGCACACATTTTAAAAACCGATGCCAATGTAATTGCATTAAATACTATCTACCGATTTGAAAACCATAGTGTATGAGTGCGTAATTGAATGAAAGCGAAAAAAATATATATCTAAATTGAGAACACTCTCTACTATAATATTCAGATATTTTCCGCCCAAAAATTTAAAAAATCTAAAATTCAGATATTCACACCGGGTCTGTTCTTTTTTAATTTTATATAATAATGTCAAGTGTTGATAATTCTATAATCTCCCTTAGTCTGTCTGTCGAAATGTGTTTTATTCATAAGGTTCTTCTGATAAGTGTTCGAATTTGTTGACAAAGAAAATCAAAAGCAAAAAAAAAACAACAACGTCGAAATGCAAAATGAGATCATTCGAAATAAATCTTGCTCAAAAAGTCAAACATAAAATATTTTTAGGGAATGACGTCATATTCATATATATATAGCGCTTATACTCTGGGAATCATCCATGAAATATCACTCAATAGGGTTTTCATCGTGGTCTTGGTCTATTCATTCTAAATGAAAAATATATTTACAGTTCCACGAAATGCAATACATAAACAATTAATATTTATTTATCGATATGCGAATGAAATGAACAGAACAGAATAAATACTGCGAAGCACTTGGTGATATCTTCATTATTTATTTAAATTATTGAAGCTTACTTTTCATAATAATGATACAACAAGATAGAGATTGATGAAGCGATTCTAATAAATTCATTTTATTATGGCGACAATATTTTATTTGGTGTGATTCAGTGTGAATAAAATAGTTTTGAAAAAATTCTAGCGGCGAGAGGAAAGTCAACATCGCCAAAATGATGGCCCCAAAAATAGATGAGATTCTATGTGCTAATCAGTTCTAAAACGAAAGTGAAATAACTCACTTTGTCTGACCTATTTTCTGCTGAAAATCATTTTCGAAATACGATAAAAATCGGGCAGCTGCACAAAATGCAAACAAATACAAAATCAATGATAAATGACTGGAACTCATCTCTACTACACTTTTTCAATACAAACATATTCCGGTTCGTTATTTGAACCTTGAATAATGATTATGCGTACGCGTTTCTAAGTTAATTTTCATATTCTCATAGAGCGTGAATATTTTTTTGTTTCGATTTTTTCTATCTGAATCAAATAAGTAGTGGTAGCTATATATAGCGCTTATGGCATAATATTGAAATTTGTAGTGACCAACGCAACAACCATTAAAAAAACATCGCGCACAGCGCACGAAAGTGAGCGTATCAAATGATGAAAAATACCAAAAAAGATGTATTCACTATTAAAAAAAAAAGAATATAAGCGCTGGCCGCGTTTGTTTGCGGTGAATTCGCTATTCAATTTTTGTTTGATACAACTACAAATACGTCAAGTTAGAACAATAACAACGCACACAACGTTGGATATATAGAAAATAAGCGAAACACGATACGCTAATAAGTGGCATTTGCTATGTTATGTTGTTATGTTGGACAATTTTTCACTGGATACGTTGACTCCGTGTATGTGCGTGTGTGTAAACTATAGGCGTGCATTTAACCGTCGAACCGTCGTTGGAAAGAAGTAAAAAAAAAAACAACACGGAATCATGATATATATCTAGAAAAATGACGTCATTTTTGTGCGCTTCTTAAAGAGCTCTTCTTTTGTTTCATATTTGCCGAATTAATTTAAAATGTTCGGTTTGAAATGGGTACATCATCATTTAACGCCAATAAAAAAAATGGTCGTCTTCGGACGATGTATATTCGATATCATGTTTATACATATTTTTTATCGATCAAATTTCTTATAAATCTAATTAGGGTGTATGCCAATTCCGACTTCATACAGGTACTCTCATTGGCAATGAGTCAGTGTTTTTTTTTTTGTACGCATACCGACTTCAATTTCATTCGGAACGAAAATTACTATTTGTGAACTCAATTTTGTAACGGGGAGTTAGTGTTTAGCATCAAAAACTGTAAATTGTTTCTCCGAAGCCACTTTTAAATAAATCATACAGACACACAAATCATGCGTTTTATGAATATTTAACTACACTTTCGAACATTATTTCACACACAGCATTATTCCAGAAAATCAATAACTCAAAATAAATTTTTATTGGATGTATATGTTTCACATTCTGTTGAAGCATTGAATCATAATGCCGGAACTAATTATGTTGCTGGTCGAGGTGGCAGATGTACGTTTTCGGAAAAAGTTATTGTTTTTTTTTTAATTCACCAAAAAACACCTTTAGCAAACAATTACAATTCGTTCAACTCTATCGATTTTTCTTCCTGAATAAGACATTTTCAAATTGTTCACATTTCGCTTGAAACTCTTATGTATTTGATTGCATGGCTCCAAACTCAATCGTGACAGAATATCTAGTTCAGTTTAACTAAAATTTATATTAAGATTTTAAATGGGAAAATAACGCGGCGCGCAACCACTATTACGAAATCCACAAATACACTCGCACATTAATTGATTCATGATATATTTTTCTTTCGGATACTCAGATTAATCTGTTAATCTCAGTGTAACACTAAACTGCTCAATTTCAAGGCAATAAAATTTATGTGCAAAAATTAATGTTGTGCCGTTTTTTCATCACAAATATTCAAATGAACTAAAAATAAAAAATTATAAGATCCATGTCAAATGGAATATTAACTTCTTCATTCGTACTGAGTCGAAGCCGAAAATTTTCACATCGCATGTATGTATATCCATACACGATCAATAATAATTTATCACCATTTTTTTATTAAAGTGATAAAAAATTGGGAACTTTTTTTTTGTCAAAATCACACAACTCATAAACGATACCATCAATTTATCTATTTAAATTTAGTATTAAAATGCACATTACTTTTTCACCAATGTTGTTTAGGCGTGGTACATTCTTCAGCCATCGTAATTTTTTACTGATTCAAGTCGACGACGTAGTTGTAGTAAAGCAAACACACTTATGTATTTGACTACTTGCCGTAGCATCGGTGTCTGTATGCAAACTGTTTGCTCGCAACGCATCGAAGTATACGGACAAAAGGTGTAAGAGTTTACAATGACGCATTGCCAACTTCACGGAAATAAATTCACTGACAATTCTAACTAGTTTGTGAGTTATGTTGGTTGGTGTATTATATTCTAATACTCACGAGAGTTTATGACACGACACAATACTAGATCTGCGATGAGATTGATTTTATGTCACCAAAATTGCGCAATATTGTGATTCATCTAATCATCTTATTTTATTTTTATAAATTAAAAACAAAATTAAACTGTCACTAATTTGCGCATTGGTTTTTTAACCATAACGGTAAGCGCGGGTAATTGTGCTGTCGTAGCAAAGAAACCAACCCGCGTGACAGCGCGATTTTGTTGTTATCAAGTTTATTGACAGACTGATTTAGATTTCAAATATAAAAGGCCCAATAGTGCCACCGCCGTTTCATTCGTCTGACAGAAGCTATCGTGCGTTGAACATCTTAAAAATTCATACGAGCTATAGCTTTTAACATTACATTTTGCAAAGCAAACAATCATAAGTGAAACAAAAATGTCACAATTACCGTTTAAAGTTGGTGAGTTGGTTTCGTTGGAATTTACATACTTTTTTTGCAAAAATTAGTTTCTAAATAAAGAACAATTGATGCACGTGCATGCAAATTTTTCGAGGTTATATTAGGGATTTTTTTTATTTGGTAAAAAAAATTAATTAAAATAACTATGTAATTTTCTAGCTGATATCTCATTGGCTGAATGGGGCCGTAAGGAAATTGTTTTGGCCGAAAATGAGATGCCTGGTTTGATTGCTTGCCGCAAGAAGTACGGTCAATCGAAACCATTGAAGGGTGCTCGTATTGCCGGTTGTCTGCATATGACGATTCAAACCGCCGTTTTGATCGAAACATTGACCGAATTGGGAGCTGAAGTAAGTATTTTGGCATAACGCATCATTTTTTTTCGCAATAAATAGTTTATTTGAAGTAAACAAATTATAATATACAATAATTAAAAAAACAGTATCTAGTAGAAAATTATTTTTTCGCAATAAATAGTTATAACAGTGATATTTATTTTAAATTATGAACCAGCTCAGAACCAGTCGACCAATTTGCGCCAAAATCATATATTTGAAGTTAACAAATTATAATATAATTAAAAAATCAGTATCTAGTAGAAAATTATAATATCAAATGAACAAGTGCATTTAAATTAGTCGACTGGCTGAAAGAACCTTGTACACTGAGTGAGACGTCTATATAACTCAAATGTGGATTTCAATGCGAGTGAGAGAAGCAAACAGATAAAAGGCTCACTTTTTATACGAACATCTTTCATCGAAGTCGACCAAATCTCATATCGGTACATATTACAGTTTCTGTTGAAATTGAAAATTTACTTTCAATATTGCTCGAAGAGAACAAAAATCTCGGAACTTATAAAGGTTAATCCATAAATTCAGACTGTAATTTTGCACTGGAGTGTCAATTTGCGTAGTCTTACAATAAAAAATGCATAAAAATATTGTGCACCCGCAATTTGATCTATTCCATTTCTTATCGTCAGAGATGGTTTCACTTATTATGCAAGATAAGAAAGGTGGCATGAGAAGTAGTCCGATTGATGGTCTGTTTTATGGTTCGACAGTTGGTGTGACAACATATTCTGAATACAATGTGCAGCGTCATTTCATTATCTCCAATCTAATCCAAAAATTGCAAATCATTTATACCGGGGTCATGGGGTCACCCAATATGTTTTGCAAATAATCATCCCTTTTCAAAAATATTCAAATTCCGTAGTTATCACTTCGTTAATCAAATTTATTTAGTTTTGAAATTTAAAAAAAACTGTATTGTCATTGTCATAAATAGAGATAACGAATAGCGAATAATTTTTGTTATTTTTGCTACATTTTCAGGTTCAATGGTCATCATGTAATATTTTTAGTACTCAAGATCATGCGGCTGCTGCGATTGCTGCTACAGGCGTGCGTGTGTTTGCATGGAAAGGAGAAACCGACGAAGAATACCTTTGGTGTATTGAACAAACGCTAGTTTTCCCAGATGGTCAGCCATTGAATATGATTTTGGACGATGGTGGTGATCTAACCAATTTAGTTCATGAAAAATATCCACAATATTTACCTGGAATTCGTGGTATAACCGAAGAAACAACGACTGGTGTACACAATTTATACCGAATCTTCAAAGACGGTCGCTTGGGTACACCAGCCATCAATGTGAACGATTCAGTTACTAAGAGTAAATTTGATAATTTATACGGATGCCGTGAATCGCTCATCGATGGAATCAAACGTGCCACTGACATCATGATCGCAGGTCAGTAGATTTATAGTAGTTTCTTCTGCTCATAACTCTCTTCTTTTACAAAATTTGTAATTAATTGGATTTTTTTTTTAAATTTTGAAAAAAGGCAAGGTATGCTGCGTAGCTGGCTACGGTGATGTTGGAAAGGGATGTGCTCAAGCACTCCGTGGATTTGGTGGACGTGTTCTCATTACAGAAATCGATCCGATCAATGCGCTTCAAGCGGCCATGGAAGGCTATGAAGTCACAACCATCGATGAAGCATGCAAAGAAGCTTCAATTTACGTCACGACCACCGGTTGTAAAGATATCATCACAGGAGCGCACTTCCAAAGCATGAAAGATGATTCGATTGTTTGTAATATTGGTCATTTTGATTGTGAATTGCAAGTTGCTTGGTTGGAAAAGAATGCCAAAGAAAAGGTGAACATTAAACCTCAAGTCGATCGATATACTTTGGCCAATGGAAAACACATCATTGTATTGGCTGAAGGACGTTTGGTCAATCTTGGCTGTGCCATGGGTCATCCATCCTTTGTGATGTCAAATTCGTTTACAAATCAAGTTCTTGCTCAAATCGAATTATGGACCAAAAAACCCAACGAATACCCAATCGGTGTACATATGTTGCCAAAGAAATTGGACGAAGAGGTTGCTCGTTTGCATTTGGAAAAATTGGGCGTAAAATTAACGCGATTGAGTGATGAACAATCTCAATACATTCATGTGCCAGTTGACGGACCATACAAGCCAGACCACTACCGTTATTAAATCTGATTATCGAAATGAGTTTTATTGAATTTAATGTTGTCAATCAACCTGATTAAATGTACATTTTCACTTGGATTTCTAATAAAAAAAACCATTGCATTTTCTTTTCACAATATTTAAATGTTTTGTGCTTATGAAAAATCATTCAATCATACAATTCAGATTGATAAATTTATTTACATGGCTAGCTTAATGTTTTCAAATTCATGAAATAAATAGTAAGTGCACTCTTACATTATAGTACTTTTTTATTACTGAATGCCGTTTTTTTTTGTTCATAAATATCTTTAAATATTGCAGATATTTTAAATTGTTACTTTGAAAATAGAAAAATAAACATTTAAAATGAAACTAAAATTATCTACTGCTTGAAATGAGCTAGGAATTCTGTTATGCGACTCGATTTTGTCTCATAATTATGAAAGTAACAAAATTATTGTTGAATTTAAAAAAAAAAGCCTTCTTCAATGTAATCCGTATTACTATATAAAATAATAGCGTAGCATTGTAAATCAAATGAAACAAATTTGAACATTTTTTTCTTTTTGTATTCAATACACATATTTTTTCGAATTAATTTGGCGCGATAATTAAGCACTGCACTTTGTAGTTTGCACATGTTGCATGTATTAGTGTTTGTATTAAAAGTTTAAAATGTCATTTTATGTAAATTTTGGAAATATTGGAAACAATCATTAATGCTTTTGCTTTGATTGGCATTTTTCGACGACTCGTTTAACATTCCGATTGTGATAGTTCATCGTCATCTTTTTTAACGCTTCGTGTCAATCGATCTAATTCAGCGGCAGCATCAGTTCGCATTGAGTTTCTATCTGGTGTGGTTTCTACGCCATTTGAGGGCCGCGGAGACCCGGGTATTCCACCGGGTGAGCCGGGTGCATTTGCCTTTTTGCTCAACAATGAATTGAAGAAATTGGCCAACACTCCTTCACCACCTGCACCACCTGGTGTTAATTTCGAGTCCATCTAGAAAATTGAAACAAAATTAATGCAAAGAATTCACCATAAAAAGTGTGCAAAATCTCTTACCGATGCCCGTGGCATTGATTTTGTAGATGGTGGCGTTCGCATGGGAGATTCACCTCTGGTTTGATTTTGACCTTGCATCAAGACTTGTTGTTGTTTTAATAAAAATTGTTGTTCATCTTCGGTCTGCACTTCATTCTCACGATTCGAAACAGCCTATCAACACATCAATATTTGTTAGTATTGTTGCAATCTCAAATTATGAAGGAAAACAAATTACTTTTCTTTGTGGAGGTGGAACGATTACATCAGTATAGTAATCTTCGGCTTTGCAAGAGTGCATATTTTCATACAATATGCTTATCTTATTCAAGTTATCCCAGCCAGATGGTCTGAAGATATAAAATGGTCATTAGTAAGACATAAATAATGTAATGGCAAGCATAAAATTCTCTTAACGAAGACATACATTAAAACAGCGTCTTTTTCCACAACTAATGCAGGTGTTCGGAATGGTAAGTCGTAAATTCGATGTGTTAAATACTTGTAAAGTAGATCACAGTTTTTATCTTCTTTAACACTTGAATAAAACAACGATGCACCATGCTGAAGACAAAAGCGTCGAATCCATTGTTGCATGAAATCAAAATATTCATCTCGGTAATCGTATTCTTTTTCTAACGTTGTCATATAATCAGTCTGCAAAGACAACATAGAAATTTAATTTCGGAAATTTCAAAAATGTTTCGAGTAACGTTGAGAAAGTTACCTTTGTGACAACAACAACGATGTCCAATCCCAAATTTTTGGTAAGTACTTCATCGGGTAGTGGCAACATTGCTTCATCTTCGACAGATGATAAACGAGCTGCGCGTTTATTCATCGGAGAATTTGCATCTAAATCGTCACCCGTCTCACAATAGTTTTGCCAAGCATTTTTTAAACGATTCTCTGCCTCTTTTCGTATTTCTGAAAGGGTGGATGTACACATTAAAATCACATTGAAATCCATCAAGCATCAAAGAATGACCGTGTATTATCGTGCGTGCCGTTCTTTCACTTTGTTGAAAATACCTGTAGAAATGTTGAGTTTTTCTACGTGATCGCTAAGAATTCTTATCCAATGATCCAGTTGCTCCTTCCAATTCCAAGGAGTTGTCATCGAAACCGTTAATATAACCAAAGTATTTGGAAAATTATTTTCATTCAATGCATATTTCAATAGATTAATATGGCCAGGATCACCATCCAAAACCCATACACCTAACCGTGTTAAATCTATTCGAGAAGAAAACACATAAAAATAAGATTTCGAGTTGATCATAATGGTATACACAATGCATTCTTACCATCTCTGTATTCATCACGAACATCGATGTAAGCGTACTCCAAACCTGAGCCTTTTTTCGGTTCCTCTACTCCTTGTAATTTAGCAATTAATGTCGTTTTACCGGTTGCATTATCACCTAATACTAAAACTGATTTGTTCGATGGAAGTTTCGTGCTACTTTGATTTTGTACTTCACTCAAAATTGCCGACCTGTTGATATCAATTCCATTTTTTGTAAATAAATTAATTGAAAAAAACTACATTTTATTTACATTAAAATAAAAGTGACGATAATTTTCGATTGTTTAAAAATCATTTAAAAAACACTTTTACAGGTGTGTATCGACACCTTTTAATTTTTAAATGACGCTTTGTTGTTAAGATATGCATATTTAAGTATTGATGATGTCATGACACAAACATGTACACCGCTTTATCCAAATAAGATGTATTAAAGAAAAAAAGCACGCTAGAAAAAAAAATGTTGTAAATCCGTGCCAATAAAATGATTTAGATTCAATCGAAACAACATTTTCTTTAACATTGAAAATATTGCACAGAGAGCATATTGTCATTTTATATGGAATTTGACGTTTATTGCTTGAAAAAAAAAATAGAGATAATTTGATTCCGGAAAATTTTTCTCTAGCAGAAGATGAGCATTGAATCGAAACAAAGAAAGGTATCATAGTCTCTTTACCACTTGACGTAATTATGTTGGAATGCATTAAAATTTGCATTTCCGCGTCATACATACACAAATATTCATATAAGAGCATAGTTATGCGGAAGAGAAAGAGATAGAAAATATTTACATCGAACACTTTTCACAAGATCACAAAGTGTGTGACTCATGCAAAATAATTTCAAATATTAGAAGAGAGAGATATTGATGATTACCATAAATTATCTTTTGGATTATTTCCTGAATCTTTTTTCTGCGGTGTAATTGATGTTGATGTAGATATGCCATTCGTTTGTGTGACACCTGGTATGGATGATAGCACTTCCATCTTCGTGAATTAGTGGTTTTCAAATTCAGGTCAAACAAACAATTTGAAATTCTTCAATATTTACAAATTATAACTCAACGATGTTATGATGAAAATTCCACTTGTTTAAAAAAACAAAAAAGAAACCAAAATTAGTCTTTCTATTTTACTTGTTACGAGTTCTATTGACTTTTTATAGTATGAAACACTGAAAAAAATCTATGTATCTGGAATGTTTTTTTTGTAAATACACAATTTTCTTGTTGTTTAATTATATTCTATTGACAGTTTGGCAATGTCGAAAATCACTTGAATATCAAAATTTAGTAATTTTATTTGAAAAATCTCCTCTCAGTTACTTAGAAAAATGCGAAAAATTACAATTTCTTTTTTTCTTGCTGCGTTCAATAGAGTTTGTTCGTTTCGTATACAATAGACACCAACACACTGCGATAAACGAATGAAAAATACTTTTATTAGCTAATGCGTTGTGCAACGTGATTTGACGTGAAGTTGGTTCCGTGACGGCTTTAAATGATATGACTCATGTCAATGGGTAGGCTGACACTTCTATAGAGTATTTCAATAGGGGTATCTTACGGGTGTGTACTACATAAAAATTCTGTTGACCACAGAGATATACTTATGAATGAACTATGTGGTAAAATGAAAATTCCACAAATTGGATTTTCAACTAAAATCCCACATCGAACTCTTTATTTTCTACGATGAATTACAATATGTGTTTTTACAATATATTTTTTTTTTCAGAATTAATTCGAAATGCGAATCTGTTACTAAATACAGAATAAATCTTTATAAACATGAAAATAATAAGATACAATTTTTTGTTGTTGAAACAAGCAATAATATACATGAAGGAAAGTGATACAAGAGGTTCACATATTTGTGCTCTAATTCAATATAGGGAGAAATATAGTAACAAACACTGAAGAACAAAAGAAACTAAAGATATCAATATATATCAGTAGTGAATATGAATATATAACTGGCTGCAACTAAAATAATACTTTGCCAAAAAGGTTGTGAATATTTTTTTTTGTTTAAAACTTTATGAATTAGGAATGTCGTTTGCATGTGTTATCCACGAAAATTCCATTAAACTAAAAAAAAAACAATAAAAAATCATTCCGATTCATCTCAAACGAATGTTGTATGCTCATCAGATGATTCAAATTTGTTTTGTTTTTCTGTGGAGGTGGTGAAGATATCTCACCACCATCATATATGTATTGCAACGATGTAATTTAAAAAATTGGAATATAGTTGTCGATTTTGGCGCGATGTTTCTGAGCAACACATTCTGATATCCAGACAATGTTACGACATTCTTGTTCTTTCAGTTTTAAATAAGCATAAAATACTCCAAAGTGAAATTGTTGAATGAATCCAAATACATTCAATTTAACCTGTAATTGATAAAAGAATTGATTTATTTCGAGCGGTCACTACGCACGCGTTCAGGGCGTGATGCGTAGAAAAATGAATAACAGAAATTTACCTCATGTTCAAAGAATTTATCTTCCAAGGTTTTGTCACCGGGATTATTTCCAGAGCCATCAAATAATGCTGCATATTCAGCATAGTATTCGGCAACGGCCTTAACTTGTTCGTAATCATCGGCGCGTGCCAATGCAGCCAAACCATCTGGATTCATTTTTCCACAACGTGGATACAATTTGGCGCGATCATCTTTCGACAATTCCGTTCCAAACGAATTGATGGTAATAATGATGGCACGACGATCAGCTTCAAACTATATACAGTACAATTGAGTTGATTAGATGGTGTGTAATAAATTAATAAAAAAAAAAATAATTGATGTTTTACTTACAGCCAAAATTTCGCACATAACATCGGCTGTGGTGCCTCCGATGCCTTTGCAAAATTCATAGAATGCCTCCAAGTAGGCCTTGTACAAGGTGTTACGAATAATTTCAATGTTCATTTCGTCCAAATCCTGTTCGGAAATGCAATCAACAAAGAATGGTGCCAATGGTGTGTCAACCAAAACGGCATTGTACAATTCAGCTGGATTGGCGGCAACATGAATTGCTTCCATTTGTTCAAAGCTGCCCAATGGATGGCATTTTGGAATTAATTCCGAAATTGGACGTTGATGCAATGTTCCAGTGATTAACAGAATAATATTATCAATCATATAACTGTATGTGATAAAATCCAAGAATGTTGATAGCGGTTCAACGGCATGGTTTCGCAAATGCTGGAACTCAATCACCAATTTTTCACGGAGTTTATCGTCAATGACCGATACAGACAATGGAGATGGTTCGTTGGCCAAAAATTGTCCGTAATCAGTTCCTTGCAAATGAAGCTTCAAATCTGAAGAAAAAAAAGAAAAGATGAGATTCCATTCAGTGTTTGTCATTTACTCGTGATTTTATATTGTCCATCAAAGCGAATTCAATATCTGTGTAAATTGATCATATGACTAAATCACATTACACACACTAACACTATAAACGCCATATTTGAAGCGAAAACTTCAATATTTTGTTTATATTGAACTTTGGAAAATGATTTTTCTCAAACAGCCGTAGGTATTAATCGAAGCTTTTGCCTTTTCCAACCACATAATTGTTGAATATAGAAACAACTGTGCGAGGTAATTAAAATGGACAATGAATTTTATGTTATTATACAGACCTTCAAGAGTTTCACATTGAACCAAATTCAAATAATCAGATTGCTTCAAAATTCCACATTTAAATCCACGGCACAAGCCTTCCAAATATCCTCCATCAATATTAAATGCAGAAGACGACATTTTACGGTGTGAAAAACTTGAATCCTATTCACTAAATATGAACCACTGATTGATATGATTATTTTCTTTCCACTAATGGGTGATATCGTTTCGATAGTGGAAGGCAGATTGTCATATGACTGAAAAATTCAATGAAAATACGTATTAATGAGTTTTGACGTCTGATTTGTACATGTATTGGTGTGCATAATATTCGTTTATTCGTAATCGATTTATGAATGCGATTGTTCACCAGGAGATGGCGCACATTGAACATCATCATTATTTCATTTGTTCATTTGGACAGTTATGATACGAAGCACACTTACATCGAAGAAAATAATGTGAAACGCATCGTGCTGAATTGTGACTTTTTTATGATTTCACATTCTATTTCACCAAAGTGGACATAAACGATTCTGCTTAGAATATTTGCAACCATCAATGTGAACTACATTGAGTGTGCTATAGCAAAGAAAGCATTTTTCAAATTATCATAACCAATCAAGAACAAATTGACATTAAAAATTGCGGTTATCGTTTCATTGTTCCGCTGTGAATGCCGCTCACACTCGGAAATTGTTTAAAAGAATCGCATTTTTTATTTAATCTTCGCTTATCAAAGGCCAGTTGGCTGATTTTATTGTTTTTTTTATTATTGTTTGAAGAAAAAAACTTGATTTTGGCAAAAATGGGTATACAAGAACTGGAATCGTTTATTCGAAGGAATTCAACAGGCATTGATAAAGAAATAAATATTTTTAATGAAATTGAAATTTGGAAACGGTGAGTTTTTTCTAATTTCATGAAAAACTATTTCGCATACAATGGATATTATTTTTCAAAATAGGAATCATCACTACGAAAAAAGTCCCACAATCATCGTTGATTTGAAGAATTTTGAAAAATATTTGAAAATAATTGATGAAGGAAGATTGATTATGGGTGGTCGATATGGTATATACAACAAAAAAATCAACGATTTCTTTGAAGCACTAACATCACCACCATGCAGCGCAAAGTTGGTATTTTTCTGCCGACCATATGTTCAAGATATAGACCAAGACTTAATTCAGAAAAAACATGATGCTCTCGAAGGAAAAAGACTGAAATCATGTCTTGATGAAATTAAAAAGGATAGTCACTTTTCATGGTATCACGATACGCGATTTTTGTATAATATGACACAAATTTGCCAGGCCTATGGAACTATGTGCACTCGAATTAAAGGAAATTCCGTGAAAATAATAGAATACGCTCATACTAACGCACAAGATATTCTTGCCATAATTACATGCGATACTGATTTCATGTTCATTAAAGCCAAATACCAATATTGGAGTCTAATGCATTTGGATCTGTTGAAGTTCAAGACAAAATCATATTGCCGTGAAACGTTATTAGAACATATGGGTTTAACAAAACCCGAAAGCCACAAGCTTTTAGGAATTTCAAAATTGGAAAAGGTTATAGTAAAATTTGACGAAATTAAAAATAGATGGGCTGGATATGTCAAAAAATTTGATCCGAGTAGACCTTGGGAATATGAAAAGATCTTGCATGAAATTTCCAATCATTTTAATCATGAGAAATTTGATGTACATGATTTTACGCGTAACCTGTCTTTTTATTCCTTCGGCGCCGATGTTGATTTCCGCTCTATGGATGAAAATTGCAAGGACTTGGCCAAAAAACTCAATGAAAAACAACTCTATTTCGTTTATCGTTTGCTAGTAGAAAAACTTTCAACAAACAAATCATTGGCGTACATTGATTTGCAAAAAAAAGATGCGGGCAAGTTCGTTGCATTGGCGATCAAAATACTATTCAGGCAGTGTGGCGTTATACTCAAAGATCATGTGAATCCCCCAAAAGAACGACAAACTAAACTAGGAAAGCGGTCAAACCTGGAAACAATTCATTATCCGCCAAGTAAGTTGAATGAATTAGTGAAGTTAATAACATAAATCTATTCTTATTGAATTTGAAAACTTTTACTTTAGTGCAATTGCCGAGTCTCGAAGATTTGATTGTGAATGAAAATGATGCAAGATTCAACGATCAGCGATGGACTCTTTTGCAATGGTTGTTGGATTTGGAGGAAGAGACTATTTTACAAATCAGAGATGAATTGCCTGTCAAATGTTCCAAGCTCATTCGAGTCGTTTTGCTCACGCTTAAATTTTTGCAAATGGTATGACGATTGAGCTTAAATGATGGTAACTTTTTCATACAGCGAATACTAATCTCAATATTATTTATCAATTTCATACAGAATGAAATAATAACAACTCGTGAAGCCAATATCATTCTAACTACAGAATTGGATGTCCAGGCCAAACGTGAATTCTATATTAAGATGATTGGGATAGAAACGTCAGAATCTGACTTAGATAAAGTAATATATGAGGCCAACATGGAAATGTCGTGGATTCAACTGGCTCACAAATACACGATTTCTTTTGAAATTGTTTGTCATTGTCTCGAACTGTGTGGTTTTCGTAAACAAACGGTAAGATTCAACATGTACGTATTTGCATTTAAAAATATTTTTATGTTATTTTCGATTGCAGGACTTGATACAATTTGATTCATTTCTATTCTTCTCGATGATGTCCTATGCCAAGGATAATCCTAAAGTATTAGAAATGATCGATGGATTTATAGGGAACCTTCCATTATGGTGATTTTATGAGGGAATATGAAATTCAAACATCTCACCCGTTTTATGCATAATTATAATAGCTACAATAATAATAATGATCAAAATACTAGGGGGAGACACGGGATCTAATATTGCTAATTTTTTCATTTTTTTGTTGTGTCTTCCCCTTAATCAAAATAGAAATAAGATATAGAGATACGTTTTTGGACATTTGTTCCTCGTATATGCTTATCATTCATACATCTCAATGTTTCCAATTTGTTTGAAGTAAATAAAATTTTCGTTGCTGCATAATTTGTATGCGTATATTTTTGTTTGTGTTAATATTAAAAGATAGTTTAAAGTTGTTGAGGTGGATCGATACTGGAAGGAATTTAACAAATATGCGTACCACCTTAACTTCTATTTTCAAATAAAAGATCTGTTCAACAGAAGTTTCTCCCAATCTGATCCAACGGATACGACTGTACAGTACACATATATAACACATGTTTTATGAATTATATTTAATCATCGAATATATTCAATAATCGTTTACAAAACTAGGTAAATCCTGACGAAATATTTGAATATAATTAAGTCGCAATTGAAATGCATTCTTTTTGAAAATGATGAAAATTAATATTACATTCTAGTTGCATATATGAAATCATTTGATAGATGATAGTAATCCGTTTATTATGAACATCAATCAACAGAAGGTCAATTTAAAATTCAATGGATTCATTAATATGAATCGATGAGCACATTCGTAAATGTGCGTGATTCTTCCCTATTTATAGCCTAAAATATAATAATAAGTTGAAAAAAATGGTTAAATATCGTCAAAATTCATTCGGTCGTGTATGGCCATAATGAAATTTTGTCTTATCATGTCGTGTAGAGGCGTCATTAAATCGTATTATTCAATCTTGAAAATGATTTTGATTGCTGTATCGATGGTTTGGTGTCGGTTGTGTCGAATATGGATCTGGAAAACCTTCGGATTCGGTGATCAGAGCTTGCTCCAAAATAACACGTCCTTCCTTGTACCTACAATTGCATACAGATGACAAATAAAATTAAGCATTGAATTTATGTTATTTTGTTCAGTGTGGTCTTACTTTTGACTTTCTTCGGTTGCGAATTCGTACATCCATCCCAATTTTGTTTTGCAATTCTTACACATGACATCGCGCACCATATGACGGCCAGTCAACATGACCCGATCTTGAATGTGAGTGTATGTCAAGTTGACAACACGCTTGAAAAGCAGTGCTCGACCTAATGCATTCAATGAAAATATGAAAACGATTTAAATTTATATCAAAATCGGAATCTATTCAGTGTTGGAATTCGACGATGAAATCCATATAATAAGAACTTAAAACTTTCTAATTTCCTTGAAATATTAATTATGTTGATATTTATAGAAAAAAAAGCATATTTACCAGTTGCGCCAGTAAACCGTGTACTGATTAGTTCGCTTTTGTTTGTCAAATTGGTTTCGCATGAAGCACACGAATACAATTTCGTGCCATTAATGTGATCCAAAAATATGCGCCCCATTTTTTCTGAATTGTCTACCTTTCTGAACTTGTTTATTTTTTCGATTATTTTATTCAATCGTAATAATTTTCCAAATTGTTTGAATAATTTTAACACTATTAAGCTATTTTCAATATTTTATTTGACTTTAATCAAAGTATGCTCTGATTTGGTCTACCTCACTTTGTTCGTGAATATTTTTGTGTTTTATTTCTCTTTGTGTTGTCAATGTTATTATTATTACTGCTACGTGTGTATGAACTGACAAACAGACGTGTGTGTGTAATTGAATGTTGCCATTTTCTACGTATTCACTGTATTGTATCAGCTGATTTACATTCGTCGTGAAGTTGGCTACTTTTACCATTCAAATGAATTTATAAGTGGCATTGGCTTCTTCCATAGCCACTGTATCAAAATATCTCTACTTTTCTTATCTATAAAAATTTAAACTCAAAAAATGCCGACAGTTAACATGAAACCGGCAATTTTTTCCAACCAAATTTTCATAAAATTAGAATAAATTAGAGCTGTGTGGCTCCACCTATGCATTTTAGAAATATATTTTTTTTTCTGCGATAAATTACCATGATTGCATGTCATATGACTGTCAGAGAAAACTAAACTTTCGTATGTTTATTTCAAAGAAAAATCAAAACAAATCGCCTGGGCAGAACTGGCCTCAGTATATCTGCCGCTGTATTTTTTGTTTGTATAAAGTTGAATATGATTTTAAGTTTTTTATCGCAATTTGAAATTGGATCCGTTTGCAATGTCAGCACAGTTAGTAGACAACACAAAATCAATTCAATTTTTTGGATGTGCTTATTCTTTCTGCTCTGTTATCATTACTTTGAAAAGATTTTACAGGTAAAGACCATCAATTTATTGAATTCATTTCGAGCATTTAATTTTCATGTAACACATTGTTTTAGCCACACTTGAAAGCGGCTAAATTCTCGTACTACAAATGGAATTTAACAATTCACTTTGTTTGGAATTGTTGTTTCTATATCGTGGCACTTGTGTTTCTGTGCCTGTATCGAAAATACTTTTTAGTTGATAGTTTGTACTTCAAGCAAAATGGACAAAACTATTATCGAAGCTATGAAAATCTACTGTTTTACACGAACAATCGCTGCTCATTATACAGTTCAATTAGTTTCATTTTGTTGTCATTTTATCTGATCGATGTGATTTATGATTTGAATGAGGGTAACATTTCCGAAGCGATCAGCAAATTTTTGGCATGCGGTATTGTCGTCTGTTTTGATATTTATCGGTAAGACACATAATAGCAGTAGTAGTTTTACAGTGGATTAGTCTAATTGCACATTTTAATTGTCTTTATTTATAGTTTGGAGTACTTTTCGGTGATGTACAATGCCATGTTGGTTTTGATTTACTTGATTACGGATGGTTTGAGACTTATATGCTGGCATATTCCCGAAAATAGCGATTTGGCCTTTCGTATTTGCGTTTCACTCAAATTATTGCTGTGGTCATTTGTATTTTTATATTTGTCGCCGTTTTATTTTCTTTTTCCAATATTATATGGCCGCAAGTTTATTTTATGGCTAAATTTATTCTCTTTTTGCTGGTATGGATCATGTATTTGGAATTCGGTAAGCTATCAGACCTTCCAATTCAATCGGATATAATTTGAATATTTGATTTTATTTCAATTTTTAAACCAATAGCCAATTCTACAGTATATGTGCCATCAAATATACCACACCAACAACAATTCCAATGATTGTCTCGGAGGGCGAACTGTTTCTCGGTACATTATTTAGCCATACATATGCAATGATAATTACAACCAAATTACATTTTACAGATGTATCTTGATAAAGGAAACCAAGGAACTGCGTCATTTAAAAAACATTCGAACCGCACTTATTGAAATACAATTAAAAGATATGGTGCAAAGCGATGAATCAAACCCATCATTGAAAACGTATCAAACAATTAAGTGTAAGTGTCATCATGTACACTCTGATGGAAACCAGAGTAAATTGAACTACATAGACTATTTCTATATTCTTTTAGGTATGATTGCGTTGAAACGCAAATTGAAAAGAATCCGTGAGAATAAGGAGCATTCAACATAATAATTGTTTCAGAAGACTGAATTCGTATTTGTTCGAGAGGCCATTGTTATGCCCGATTTTATTTCATGTCATCGCCTTTGGTGCTTGTAACAGCTTAGATAGTGAATGAGAACAAAAGTCTTAAGTAAAGTAACATGTCCAGCATCTAATCTTATGTTTATTGAATTGTTTTTGTTATATGTGAAGCAGCTTCAACTTTAAATAAGTTTGTTATGTTTGAATTAACGATAATTCGAATAATTATTGACCAACATTTGGAGAAAATTGAAATAAATCTATTGATGTGAATTAATCAGAAGTTGTGCGTCCATCTGCCCTTTATTTTCATCAAAATGTCTAATTTAAAAAAAATCATAGAAAAAATGAGTTGATATTTTTGAACATTCATGCCTTATAGATATAATTAATTTATATGTTATTTACTTTTTGTGTAATCCAAAGCCACTTCAAAGTCCCATCATTCCAATCGTAAAGACACAATGCCAAAGACTTTATTTATTTGTTATTTTAATCCTGAGTGGAAATGAACCTAATAAATGATTTAAACTGCTTAAAACAACTTTATTCATTTTATTCACTTTCGTTACTGTGTAATTGGGATGCATAGGTTTTTATAGATAGAATTGGTTTTACTTTATTTTACTACATTCAATCTATACTTTCAAAGCACTATTCTGTATTACTCAATTCAGCTTCTGGTATTTGGAATGTACGAATTGCTTGTATTGACATATGAAATTAACCACTAATATGCAGCAAATTATTAATCCAATTCAGTTTATATCATACATTTTATAAATTTAAAATTTCGTTTATTTTGGCTGTAAAAATACGTAATATACATGCGTAGTTCATTTCATCAATGTTGGGACGATAGCATATTATTTTGATTCATTTTCGAAACCTTTTCATAAATTTTGAACTCGTTGAAATTTTTTTTTGGAAGATCTTCGTCTTTGCAAATTATATTCGGAAAATTTAGTTATTTAAACGCACGAGCATACGTTTTATCATTATCTTAGCTCATTTCTATTTTTGCTTTTTTATTTCTATAGATTAAAAAGCATATTTGTGATTTATTATTTATTTGAATTATGGAAAAAAATGTAATCTTACCTTAAATACATAGCAGTTTATAGTCATGCATGTGATTTTGTTTAATTTAAAATTGTCGACAACTGTGAACTTATCTAATTTGCGTATATTTTAAGAACTGATCTACGATGAGCGCGCTTATGACTAGATAACCGTTGGTTGACGTAATACTGCCACTTAAAATAAATAATAAAATTTCTGTTATGGATGCCTGGATTTTGTTAGCAATCTTTTGATGTGATATATCTGCGATAATATATCTATAACTTGGGTATCTCATATAGGTTTCCAAGTCCACGATTAATATTAAGATTAATATAGAACCATAATTTTCCATGAAAAGCATCATTTCTGCATGATTCTTAATCAGACAATATATTTAGCTGCCGTCATCTGGATATTTCAGCTCATCTGGATGCCGTCAGCAGATGATGCGAAGTGAAAACAACGAAAAGAAGTCAGAGTGTTACGTAAAATTGAACACGATCAATACAACGTAGCTGAATACCATGATTATGATTATGCGATCTTGGAATTGACTGAACCACTAAATTTTACTGATGCAGTTAAGCCGATTGCATTGGCAAATAGCGATTCACCACTCAGCACCGCAGACGTTGGCTTAGTTTCGGGATGGGGTATCTATTGTTTTTTACCTATATCTTCTTTCATTTTTAAATGAAGTAATTGGCATTAATATCTACAATCCAATTTTGGAAAATCGGAATCAAGTGGAAATCCGGAAAAACTTCGCCAAGTGGAAGTCAATCTTTTTTCAAAGTCATGCACAGAAACAGGAAGAAAAATTTGCGCTGGTACCAGAAGAAAAATCGACAAAGGCGCCTGTTATGGTGACAATGGAGGTCCTTTATCGGTGAAAGTAAAAAAATATTCATTTCTATAAATTGATGATTCATTTTTAATATGTTGAATTTCTAATTTTTCAAGAAAAACAACGTTCCTGTTTTAAATGGATTGAGTTCATATTACAAGGTAAGCAGATGTGCTCAATTCGAAACGGAAAATTCAATATTTTCAGACATAAGAAGCGTTCGTTCGTGGATTCAAGAGAACACTGGAATTTAGACATCATTTCTTGAGATTTATATTGTTGCTATTTAAGTTGAATTTGTCGTGCGCGGTTGTTTGTGTCATTTTAATTCTTCAATCACTGGCCATTTCCACGTTACGCTTTCAACTAAATGAGTTCTCACAGTTCTCATTTAGTCAATTGTATCAAATATAAAATTTTTGTTTTTCGATGGATAAGTAAAGTCATTTGCTTAAAAATTCAAGGAGTTTTATTTTCATATCATTCACAATAGCCCATATTTCGGTGACTCTTCCATTAACCCGAGAGATGAGCGCAGTCAATATGATTGTATTGTGACGTCACATATCTTACAGAAAAACGCAATCTGTGTAAAACAGGCTTACTACAATGTAAAAGTATAGCGAGGGGAAGGAGATGAAGAAGAAGGGGAAACAAATATACGTTTGATTTACATTGTAGTCAGAATGAAAAAAAAATCTGTATTGAATTTATAGTCAAGATTTTATCAAAATTAGATCATCTAACAGTTCTTCAATCACAATCGATGATCAATCTAGACTAATCAGAATATGGAGCCATATCCGTTCAATAGATACCATTTTTTGTCGAAATTGGTACTTAATTCATATGTTACTCACGTTTTTTGGTATTCCAACATCATGTGAATGTTTTGTGCAATGAAAACATGTAATTTTGTTTATTTTATACAACAATTTGTCTTTATTCAATTTACTGATAATAACAATCATTTTCGTCGCTGTGTAATTTGGATACATTAGTTTGTAGATGTGGCTAGTTTGTTTTATTCTGCCCTTTCAAATGCTCTTGCTTATTCCTGATTTTTCAGTATGAATGCCAAGGTCTACTCTGCTTAAATAAAAATAATATTTTCAAAATTAAAATTGGATTTCTTTAATTTCTAAAGCTTTCCAAATGAGAGTCAATATTTCATCATGTGGTATTTTGTTTGTTTTTCAATATAAACTTTGTGTATACTATATTATAGCTGTATATGACGGAATGCTAGAAATTGCGGATTTTCCCGACATAAGAATTTGCGGGATGACATTAACTGAAACCTCGCCTATCTAATCAGACTAATTTGATGACCTACAGAGTAGCATATAAAGTAATGTCTTGGCTGCGCTTAGGAAATGTCATCAACAAACATCGAATAAAAGCAATGCAACCGATCGCAACATTTCGGAACAATGAACATGACAATATTGTTTCGATAATATGATCGATCATGATGAATTTATCATCAAAAAATGGCCAGCTTTTCAGATATGCGATGAATATGGCGTTTTCAAACGAATAAGTAAGTGACTAAAGTCAATTTAGTGACCCTAATTGCTGAAACCCAGCAAAAGTACATGAATTGGTACCTATGCTATTGGTTATTTTAAAAATCATGTATTATACAGGAACTGTAATCTGTTTGTTCACATTTACCTTCCATCTGAATAAAGTAGTAAAATCTCGCGCGTAAGTGCAATATATTGTTGAAGATTTAGGTGCTTTTGTGTGTAAGTACAGCTGCCATAAAGTTCAATTTATGCGCTGCGGTAATCGTTCTCACTTTTATATTTTTTGATTAGGAAAATAATTGTAGTGCCTAAGTAATCAAGTTAATCGCAATGGATTTTCTCAATGTTCTAAGATAATATTTGTCATTATACTTAAGCTAATATAAAATCGTGGTCAAGCTATCGTTGATTAAAATTATGTTTTGTATAGTGCCAAAATATTCATTATTATTTCAAAGCTTGCAGCTTAGATTACTTTAATTCTAAAATCGTTTCTCTTCATAAAGTAATTGGTACATTTTCACTAATCTTTTCTAATCACTTCTTCTTCCTCCACCTCTTCCACGTTTATCAACGAATATCTAAAATAATTCTGATTACAAATATTATTCGTAACGCATTTTTTTTATTTTTCCCGTTTTATCACGGCTAGGAGTTGACAAATCTAAAACCACGCATTTGAACGTCATTGATTGTAAATAATAATAATATTTTTAATTATTAAATGTTGTGTATGTTATTAAAACTGTAATCTTACGACAAATATTTTTTTATAAAATGTTCATTTACAAATTACATAGTTTTTGTTTTTTTTTTTTAATATTTTATGTAAATACAGTGCAATACAATAAATTCAAACGTAAATATTGGGGTCAATTTGAGATTTTCGTTTCATCTCATTTTGACAATATATCGGTTTTCGGTTTATTAGAAATGAAAAAATCGACTTCAAAATAGCGTAGTAACAAATCAAAAAATGGCAGTATTTGTTGGACATTCACAGGACTGCATACT